TTTTAGTTGTGTTAGTATGGTAACATTAGTTGTGTTAGTATGGTAACATTAGTTGTGTTAGTATGGTAACATTAGTTGTGTTAGTATGGTAACATTAGTTGTGTTAGTATGGTAACATTAGTTGTGTTAGATGGTAACATTAGTTGTGTTAGTATGGTAACATTAGTTGTGTTAGTATGGTAACATTAGTTGTGTTAGTATGGTAACATTAGTTGTGTTAGTATGGTAACATTAGTTGTGTTAGTATGGTAACATTAGTTGTGTTAGTATGGTAACATTAGTGGTGTTAGTATGGTAACATTAGTGTGTGTTGGTAACATTAGTATGGTAACATTAGTTGTGTTAGTATGGTAACATTAGTTGTGTTAGTATGGTAACATTAGTTGTGTTAGTATGGTAACATTAGTTGTGTTAGTATGGTAACATTAGTGGTGTTAGTATGGTAACATTAGTTGTGTTAGATGGTAACATTAGTTGTGTTAGTATGGTAACATTAGTGGTGTTAGTATGGTAACATTAGTGGTGTTAGTATGGTAACATTAGTTGTGTTAGTATGGTAACATTAGTTGTGTTAGTATGGTAACATTAGTGGTGCTAGATGGTAACATTAGTGGTGTTAGTATGGTAACATTAGTGGTGCTAGATGGTAACATTAGTGGTGTTAGATGGTAACATTAGTTGTGCTAGATGGTAACATTAGTTGTGCTAGATGGTAACATTAGTTGTGCTAGATGGTAACATTAGTTGTGTTAGTATGGTAACATTAGTTGTGTTAGTATGGTAACATTAGTGGTGCTAGATGGTAACATTAGTGGTGTTAGTATGGTAACATTAGTGGTGTTAGTATGGTAACATTAGTGGTGCTAGATGGTAACATTAGTGGTGCTAGATGTTAACATTAGTTGTGCTAGATAGTAACATTAGTTGTGCTAGATTGTAACATTAGTTGTGTTAGATGGTAACATTAGTTGTGTTAGTATGGTAACATTAGTGGTGCTAGATGGTAACATTAGTGGTGTTAGTATGGTAACATTAGTGGTGTTAGTATGGTAACATTAGTGGTGCTAGATGTTAACATTAGTTGTGCTAGATGGTAATAGAGAAACATAATCAGACTGCCACTGGTGCCATTGGTATTGGAACTCTGCGCTGGTTGCAACATTTCACAGTTTTTATCTCACGTCATCAGTTGAAGTGTTGTGATAAGACTTCCTGGTTGACATTTCTGTGATGAGATCTCTCAAGAGAGGGATGTCAGAACCTAGGGCTTAGGTACCTTGAGTCTCCCTCCTCCTCCCCCTAATCACCATTTACATTATCATCATCATCATGTGCACTGGTGCAAAAAAAGGCAGTCAAAATATCTTCCGACACCAGCATAAGTAATTCTATAAATATCTACTAATGAGTGCATGTAACAAAACAAACCTGAAGCACATACATGAAACAGTTCACACAAACTAATGTAACATAACACACCTGAAGCACATACATGAAACAGTTCACACAAACTAATGCAACATAACACACCTACCTCCGACTTCCACGCCACTGGTCTAAGCTAAACGCCGTCTTCCAGTTTCAACTATGTTTTTGACGGCAGTTCGTAAGAATGATCAAAGTCACAGTCATCAAATTGTGATCAGAAATATCTTCACCTTCACTTCACAATTTAAAACAATCAAGACAATATCCCGCTGCATAAGAAATGTTTTGTAAACTATTCCACCATGCCGGTCCTAATGATCAGCCCCATCATAAAGATATGCACTTAATTAATGCTAAACCAACAGGGGAACTCACCTAAATAATTTGTCGAAAATTTACTTTTAGCACAACCGAGTTGTGTCCCTTAAAAAAACCATAAAGAAATGAATTGACTAAAGGCTCCAAATAATTTATCCCAAAAGTCACAGTTTTAACATGGCGGCCAGCATCCAGAGTTTCGACCGCAAGGGGTGCGATCCTGGTGACCAGGCATAAACGTTGGCAGATCGCATAATTTGTCATCATGGTAGTCAGTGAATTAGAAAGATACAAGACATGTTCTTTAGTTAGAACAAGATACAAGACATGTTCTTTAGTTAGAACAAGATACAAGACATGTTCTTTAGTTAGAACAAGATACAAGACACGTTCTTTAGTTAGAACAAGGTACAAGTCATGTTCTTTAGTTAGAACAAGATACAAGACACGTTCTTTATTTAGAACAAGATACAAGTCATGTTCTTTAGTTAGAACAAGATACAAGACATGTTCTTTAGTTAGAACAAGATACAAGACATGTTCTTTAGTTAGAACAAGATACAAGACACTTTCTTTAGTTAGAACAAGATACAAGTCATGTTCTTTAGTTAGAACAAGATACAAGTCATGTTCTTTAGTTAGAACAAGATACAAGACATGTTCTTTAGTTAGAACAAGATACAAGACATGTTCTTTAGTTAGAACAAGATACAAGACATGTTCTTTAGTTAGAACAAGATACAAGACATGTTCTTTAGTTAGAACAAGATACAAGACATGTTCTTTAGTTAGGGCAATAATTTCTGATTTTTTTCTTGTCTATTTTGCTGAAGCAGCTCAGAAGATACAGCACAGACGAGCTGATACCAACATTGTTTCTGTCAACTTCAACACACTTCTATTGCCAAGCAACATGCATGCTGGAGACCCAGTTCACTGTAAAAGATGCCATGCAGTCTTGTCTCTCATCAGCTATGTGGATCCAGATTCAAAGGTAAGCTTTCATGTACATCACTTGACACTTATTAACTGTATTCATAATACCATGGCTGAACAGATCTACAGTAGATCTGATATTCATTTCATGGCAAATAGGGGAGCACAATTGGGAATATAGAAGAGATGTACATGTTTTTGTGAATCTTAAAAAGGCGTCTGATAGTGTGCATAGAAACTGTTTATGCAATGCTATGAAGGACCTTGGAATACCAAAAAAAGTTAATTACCATGACCAAACTATGCATGGAAGACACTTGTAATATAGTAATCTATAAAGGCAGAAAGTCAGACCCTTTTCAAATAACATCTGGTTTAAAACTAGGTGATGTTCTGTCTCCAATTCTTGTCAACTTGGCCCTGGAGACAATTATAAGGAAATTGAAACAAGACTGTACTATCGGAGAATCTACATGAATACTTGAATATGCAGATGACATTGCTATCGTTGTTGAAAAGGAACTAGAGACTGTTAAAACACTGACTATCTTGAAAGAATCAGCTCAGAAAATGGGACTAGTTATCAATCAAGATAAGTCAGAATACTTGATAATAGCTAGACAGGGAAAGGATATAAACTCCAACCACATGCAAGTCGATAATATGAAAAGCAAATGAATGGAAATATATAAGTACTTGGGTGCAAACTTCAACTGCTCCAACATGCTGAGAGAGGAAATACAATCTAGAATACAATCTGGAAATCATCTTCTTCTTCACCAGCTATAAACTTCGGCAGAAAGTTCTGGTTGTTCGTCCGCTTCTGGACTGCAGTCCTGTTCCAGAAACTGAGTGTTGTGTGTGCATTCGTTTTACAAACCTGACTAATTTGTATGCAGACTGCTGATTCCTTGCCTCTCAGGCAGATGCACTTCGAAGGAAGCTCCCAATTAGTATAATAAGGCACCGGAACCCTCACAGGAAAATCTGGAAATAAAGTATACCAAGCCCTTCAATATCTGTTTTAGTCAAAGTGTCTGTCTCACAACACCAAGATCAAAATATATAAAACGTTGATAAGACCAGTCGCTTTATTTGGCTGTGAAACTTGGAGCACAGCTAAAAGAGATGAAGCTTGATTACAGGTTTTCGAAAACAATCTTACAACGAATCTTTGGACCCATCAAAGATGCAAACAGTGGGGAATGGAGAATGAGAAGCAACAACAAAATTCATATTCTGTTTAAATCCCCACTGATCACTGGCATCATGAGAGCTAACAGACTGAAATGGCTGGGACATATTGAAAGAATGTCAGATGACAGAGAAGTAAAAACTTAGATGAATGGTCGTTGACCACAAGGCAGACCAAGAAGGCGATGGAGAGATAATGTCCAGACAGACCTGCAAACACTTGGTGTCACCAACTGGAAAGAGAAGGCCACCCAGAGAGATGAATGGAGGCAGGTGATATCTGCACCAATCAACCTCAGGGGCTCAGAATGCTGAACAAGAAGAAGTTAAAGCTCTGCATATTTATCTTTCCCTGTCTCTATAGCATGATGCTTTTCTCCTTTTTGTAATTTTGTTGTTGTCATTGTTGCATACTTATACTGTTCCACAGATTACATTGAATCTTTTCATGGTGGTTTTGATGAGTACAGCTCTCATTATCGTCACCAAATTCTGAATGTTTTTGTCAGCTCTGGTCTCTATAACATCTTCCATCAGTTAGCACATCATAGCCCATACATAGAAAATGATTGACCTGTTTTAGTGTTTTGCCTTTACTTTATTACAAGCAGATTGGAACTGGAGTTGGAAACAACTGGTGGCATGCAATCAGAGTACCATTCATCCAGTTCTACTAATAATAATTCTAATAATTTGTTCTGCTGGCTGCACTCTGCCACCAGGTCTAGTCAAGATGTTCAAACACTTGATCTGAGTGCCTTTATCTGCACCTGTTTATGCACACATTAAGCCCTATTAAGTCTTGCAAAATATAAAAATACACAGGAAAAAACACTTGAAAAAAATTGGTAAGTTTGGCTGTGAACCCTGTAAAACAGCTATGAGCAACTGGCTGATAGTTTAGATGTTCAGATATCACACAGAACATGTGGTTTAATGTTGCCAGTAAGATAGTGGATATTTTGTCTGTCAGGGAGGCAAATCACAATCTTAACGTGGACATTTCAAAGTAACTGCACCAGCCTTAGAGCCTTAAATCCTTAGGCTTTTGACCTCTTTGCCTACCCCTCCCCTTCCCCCTTAACTCTTCCCCCTTTCTCAAAAGTGATAAATACAAACATTGAAGACAGTTTAGAAAAATAATCAAAAACTTTGTTTTCCTGTTACTTATTAAAAGGAGCTGTGAATCAATAGTTCTTTTTCCCCCTTAATATTTAATTATAGTAAACATTATAGAGGCACAATTATGTATGGAAGACACTTATCAAATAGTCACATAAAAAAGTAAAAAGTCACACCATTTTGAAATAGCATCAGGTTTAAAGCAAGGTGATTACCTGCCCCTGTTTGTATAAACTTAGCCCTAGTGAGAAGTCTGAGGAAAGTCAAGAACATTGTACTGAGGCAAGTGAAGAACATTGTACTGAGGCAAGTCAAGAACATTGTACTGAGGAAAGTCAAGAACATTGTACTGAGGAAAGTCAAGAACATTGTACTGAGGAAAGTCAAGAACATTGTACTGAGGAAAGTCAAGAACATTGTACTGAGGAAAGTCAAGAACATTGTACTGAGGAAAGTGAAGAACATTGTACTGAGGAAAGTGAAGAACATTGTACTGAGGAAAGTCAAGAACATTGTACTGAGGCAAGTCAAGAACATTGTACTGAGGAAAGTCAAGAACATTGTACTGAGGAAAGTGAAGAACATTGTACTGAGGCAAGTCAAGAACATTGTACTGAGGCAAGTCAAGAACATTGTACTGAGGAAAGTCAAGAACATTGTACTGAGGAAAGTCAAGAACATTGTACTGAGGAAAGTCAAGAACATTGTACTGAGGAAAGTCAAGAACATTGTACTGAGGAAAGTCAAGAACATTGTACTGAGGAAAGTCAAGAACATTGTACTGAGGAAAGTCAAGAACATTGTACTGAGGAAAGTCAAGAACATTGTACTGAGGAAAGTCAAGAACATTGTACTGAGGAAAGTCAAGAACATTGTACTGAGGAAAGTCAAGAACATTGTACTGAGGAAAGTCAAGAACATTGTACTGAGGAAACACTACAAGAATACTGGTTATGCAAATGACATAAATATAATTGGTGTAATGTATCACACACGTTCTACAAATATATATTTTCCATCTCATTGACCAAATACTGTTTCTCCCATTATTTTCTTTTATAATTAAACAAACACCATATCTTTCATTTTGTTTTTCAATATTTACCAGTCTCCATTAAATCGACTACAACTATTAATCCTATATTGTTTTCCATTATCAACCAACATCATTAATCACATTTTGTTTTCCAGTACTGGCCAAAATCATTCAACCCATCTTGTTTACCAGTATTGACCAAAAACCATTTATCCCATCTTGTTTTCCAGTACTGGCCAAAATCATTCAACCCATCTTGTTTTCTAGTATTGACCAAAAACCATTTATCCCATCTTGTTTTCCAGTATTGACCAAAAACCATTTATCCCATCTTGTTTACCAGTATTGACCAAAAACCATTTATCCCATCTTGTTTTCCAGTATTGACCAAAAACCATTTATCCCATCTTGTTTTCCAGTATTGACCAAAAACCATTTATCCCATCTTGTTTACCAGTATTGACCAAAAACCATTTATCCCATCTTGTTTTCCAGTATTGACCAAAAAACGTTTATCCTTTGTGTTTTCCAGTATTCACCAGAAATAATTATTCCTTTCTTGTTTTCCAGTACTGATCAAACACCATTTGTTCATGTGCTTTAAAGACACATAAGTGGTGACATGACTTGATATCTGCTTTGTCTTGAATTTCGCAGTAATTTGGATGCCTGTTGTCTGTGCATGTCTAAACAATTAATGATTAAAATATGTCACTAGAACTCATGTCATTAGATGTCACTGGAATTTACAGTGGAAAATTTTGTACATTTTGTAGAGAAACATATTTACTTATTCATGAGTTGAGATATTGCAAGTTTCAACTTAAAAAATATTTGTCTTGTTTTTACCTAGGTGTGGCGGTGTGAATTTTGTGACAAATCAACAAAAGTTGATATCGACCCTGAGGAAATTACCCACGGTGGGGATGTTACATTCCTGATACAGCCGGCCATGACCACATCTAGAAGCACCTTCTCTGGTGTGGATCGTTCGTTGGTTGTGTTTTGTATGGACACCTCAGGCAGCATGTGTGTCACAACTGAGGTAATGTGTGTGTCTAGTTGTGTTGTGTTGTGTGTGGACACCTCAGGCAGCATGTGTGTCACAACTGAGGTAATGTGTGTGTCTAGTTGTGTTTTGTGTGGACACCTCAGGCAGAAAGTGTGTCACAACTGAGGTAATGTGTGTGTCTAGTTGTGTTTTGTGTGGACACCTCAGGCAGAAAGTGTGTCACAACTGAGGTAATGTGTGTGTCTAGTTGTGTTTTGTGTGGGCACCTCAGACAGTATGGGTGTCACAGCTGAGGTACAGCATGGGTGTCACAGCTGAGGTAAGGTGTCTGTCTAGTTGTGTTGTGTGGGCACCTCAGACAGCATGGGTATCACAGCTGAGGTAAGGTGTCTGTCTAGTTGTGTTGTGTGGACACCTCAGACAGCGTGGATGTCACAGCTGGAGTAACATGGCTTTTTAGTTGTGTGGGCACCTCAGACAGCATGGGTGTCACAACTGGAGTAACATGTCTCTTTAGTTGTGTTGTGTGGGCACTTCAGACAGCATGGGTGTCACAGCTGATTTAACATGTCTGTCTAGTTGTGTTGTGTGGAGACCTCAGACAACATGGGTGTCACAGCTGAGGTAACATGTCTGTCTAGTTGTGTTGTGTGGGCACCTCATACAACATGTGTGTCACAACTGAAGCTACATGTCTGTCTAGTTGTGTTGTGTGGGCACCTCAGACAGCGTGGATGTCACAGCTGGAGTAACATGTTTGTCTAGTTGTGTTGTGTGGGCACCTCAGACAGCATGGGTGTCACAGCTGAGGTAACGTGTCTGTCTAGTTGTGTTGTGTGGACACCTCAGACAGCGTGGATGTCGCAGCTGGAGTAACATGTCTGTCTAGTTGTGTTGTGTGGGCACCTCAGACAGCATGGGTGTCACAGCTGAGGTAATGTGTATGTCTAGTTGTGTTGTGTGGACACCTCAGACAGCATTGTTGTCATAACTGGAGTAACATGTCTGTCTAGTTGTGTTGTGTGGGCACCTCAGACAGCATGGGTGTCACAGCTGAGGTAACATGTCTGTCTAGTTGTGTTGTGTGGGCACCTCAGACAGCATGGGTGTCACAGCTGAGGTAACATGTCTGTCTAGTTGTGTTGTGTGGGCACCTCAGGCAGCGTGGGTGTCACAGCTGGAGTAACATGTTTGTCTAGTTGTGTTGTGTGGGCACCTCAGACAGCATGGGTGTCACAGCTGAGGTAACATGTCTGTCTAGTTGTGTTGTGTGGACACCTCAGACAGCGTGGATGTCACAGCTGGAGTAACATGGCTTTTTAGTTCTGTGGGCACCTCAGACAGCATGGGTGTCACAACTGGAGTAACATGTCTTTCTAGTTGTGTTGTGTGGGCACTTCAGACAGCATGGGTGTCACAACTGGAGTAACATGTCTGTTTAGTTGTGTTGTGTGGGCACTTCAGACAGCATGGGTGTCACAACTGGAGTAACATGTCTGTCTAGTTGTGTTGTGTGGGCACTTCAGACAGCATGGGTGTCACAACTGGAGTAACATGTCTGTCTAGTTGTGTTGTGTGGGCACTTCAGACAGCATGGGTGTCACAACTGGAGTAACATGTCTGTCTAGTTGTGTTGTGTGGGCACTTCAGACAGCATGGGTGTCACAGCTGAGGTAACATGTTTGTCTAGTTGTGTTGTGTGGGCACTTCAGACAGCATGGGTGTCACAGCTGATTTAACATGTCTGTCTAGTTGTGTTGTGTGGAGACCTCAGACAACATGAGTGTCACAGCTGAGGTAACATGTCTGTCTAGTTGTGTTGTGTGGAGACCTCAGACAGCATGTGTGTCACAACTGGAGTAACGTGTCTGTCTAGTTGTGTTGTGTGGACACTTCAGACAGCATGTGTGTCACAACTGGAGTAAAATGTCTGTCTAGTTGTGTTGTATGGGCACTTCAGACAGCATGTGTGTCACAACTGGAGTAAAATGTTTGTCTAGTTGTGTTGCATGGACACTTCAGACAACACGTGTGTCACAACTGGAGTAAAATGTCTGTCTAGTTGTGTTGTGTGGACACTTCAGACAACATGTGTGTCACAACTGGAGTAACGTGTCTGTCTAGTTGTGTTGTGTGGGTACTTCAGACAACATGTGTGTCACAACTGGAGTAACATGTCTGTCTAGTTGTGTTGTGTGGACACCTCAGACAACATGTGTGTCACAACTGGAGTAACATGTCTGTCTAGTTGTGTTGTGTGGACACCTCAGACAACATGTGTGTCACAACTGGAGTAACATGTCTGTCTAGTGGTGTTGTGTGGACACTCAAAAAACATATGTGTCACAACTGGAGTAACATGTCTGTCTAGTGGGCAGCAGTTTTTCAGCCATGTTGTGTTTGAAGGGAATATTCAAACAGACCAGAACATTGTTTTGAAGATTGGTTAACTGAGTTGTGAATCCATAACATCAAGCAGAATACCAAGGGCAGCAAAGATTATACAGGAGACAAACTTTCTACAGCCAGGAGGACCAACATCAAGCATAGTTAGTGGAATGAATCTGAGTGATAGAAAATATAAAATTGATGAATGATGTATGAATGATTTAGGTATTTTATTTTAAAATTATCAATATTGTAAATATATTTCATGTACTGTTTTATTATTGTAACAGGTTATCCAGGAAGTTAAAACATATGACACACAAAGCAGACAGGCAAGAATGTAACAGGTTATCCAGGAAGTTAAAAAATATATGACACACAAAGCAGACAGGCAAGAATGTAACAGGTTATCCAGGAAGTTAAAACATTTGACACACAAAGCAGACAGGATAGAATGTAACAGGTTATCCAGGAAGTTAAAACATATGACACACAAAGCAGACAGGCAAGAATGTAACAGGTTATCCAGGAAGTTAAAACATATGACACACAAAGCAGACAGGATAGAATGCTAGACATTGGGGTCCTCGCAGCTGGCTAAAAACTAAAGAAAAAATTTGCTTTCTAAGAAGTGATTTCATCAATAAGTACTGTCCTGGCAAAGAATTAATTGTTTCACTCTCTTTGGCCAAGACATATGTTTTTTGTTTAACAAAGCCAGGCCAAGCGAAGTGACCTCACAAAATGTTTGTTATGATGCAGTGATAACCTCACACAGAATTGTTTTTTAAATTTTCACCCTAAAATATATTTAAATATAATCAGACCCACCACGTCTACACACTATGCAGTTGCAACCAGTACCAAAGCTGTTATATATGTGTACTGACCACTGCCCCAGAAAAATCATGCCATTTGAGAAAAACGTGACAAGCCTAGTTCTCAGCACTACAGGGTAATAGGTTTAAAGATATTAATCCAAAGGCTTCAAAAAAAGCTAAAGTATATTCTTTTTCTACAAAGTTTGTCAGTTTTCACTTGTTAATGTTTATTTTTCCTCATAGCATGCCTACAAATATTTTCTAATTTCTCTGATAAGCCGTATAAATGCTTATCTCATATTTGTGTCATGCTTGATGATGTAGTAAACATGCTGCAGTATCTAACAGGATATTTCCTGGTACTCATTTGACAATGCATCCACTTGGGAGTCTAGGCCAGAAAAAAAAAAACAGTCAGCCTCAGTGCCAAGAAATATCAGCCATGACCACATGGCTGCTAGGCAACTGTGCTAGCCAGGTCCCAGCTCAGTAATAATGAAAGCAGTTTAACTTCCATATCCTAATGTTAGCAAAAGAGTTGCAGTTTTTCAATGTTTATGTTCACAGATTTCAGGAAAGATAAAATTACGAGGAACAAGGCACCTTAGGCGACTACAGAGCTTTAATGAAGACCAAGATAGCCAGTTTCTTCCATCCCAGACTCACACGAATGTAACATACATTTCCCGTCTGCAGGCCATGCAAGCTGCCGTTGATCATCAGTTGGACCAGATGTCATATGATCATCCTAACAGGCGTGTGGCCTTAATCACTTTCAATAATGAGGTCTGATATGTTAGTCATGGTATCTAAAATTATGTATGTATGTGAAAAAATGGGAATTTACAAGTCAGAATTATAGAACCATAAGTCTTATCAGTCACCACAGTAAAGTCATGCTCAATGAACTCCTAAACAGACTGCAAGCAGAAGGAATCATAGCTGAGGAACAGATGGGTGTCCATGCTGCGAGAACCATCGCTAAACAGATACGCATATTGTCAGAGCAATGCCACTGGCACCAAAAGCATATGTACCATGTGTTCAGTGATTTCAAAATAGCCTCTGATAGAGTATATGGCATGTAGTATTCTGGGATACTTTGAAAAAGTACAATTTGGGTAAAACCCTCATACGTAGTACAGAAAATCTGTATGCCAAAGCCAGTAGTGCTGTCATGGCGAACAAACAAATAGGGAGCTGGTTCTGAACAACATGTGGAATCTGTCAGGGCTGCTCCTCTCCCCAACACTGCTTAACATCATCATAGAAAGAACTATGACTGGCGTCTAGACAAACATCTTAGAACAGTTAGTTTAGAAGGACCAATTATAACAAACTTAAAGTTTGTGGATGACATGGACGTGTCACATTTATAAACCTGTTTAATAAAAACATGAACCAAGCATGGTAAGGAAATACATGCCTAAAAGATGACTAATAATCCAGATGGCATAGATACACCAATGTACATTAAAGGTCACAAATTAGAACAAGTTAGTCATTTCAAATATTTAGGAACCATTATAAGTGACCTAAGGTTCAGACCAGACATTGTGTCTTGGATTGCCCAGACGACATCAAAAACATCAATCCTTGCCAAACTGAAAATATTATGGAGATCCAAAAATATTTCATGTACAGATGAAGGTCCTGTGTAGAGCCGTAGTATGCATGCAAAACATGGCAGTTAGTAGTTAGACCAGTAATGGGATGCAGAAAGACAGTAATTGAATAATTGAAGTCATTAGTTAGATAAGGCAATAGGTAATAAAAGATGACATTATTTGACTTTCCATATCTGACAGGTGACGATTGTAGGCGATGGGACACAAGATGAGATTGTCGTGACAGGAGACAAGTTAACAAACGAGGAGCAGTTGTGCAAGATTGGTACAGAGGCTGCACTACCCGAAGACATCAAGAGCAGTAGAAGAGTGCTAGGGAAGAAAGTCTATAAGTGAGATCTTCATGAGAATGATCATGCAGACTGTAGTGTATATTTGTTGTCCTGATTATCCTACCACTTTTTGTCAACAACAAAGACATGTCTCTGACCTCCTCCTTATCCTCTGTCAGGAACCCTTTTTTTTTGGGGGGGGGGGGGGCACCAACGACAGAGTTGTTAAACAGAACACTGACTTAATAGTGAGAACGAACCTGACATCTACATGGAACATATTAAGGAAACCAAAGAAACAGCTGATGAAGTAGTCAAAGAAGTCAGTATTGAACGCACTGGCATGGCTTACAAAATCAAACAAAGCTGTCAGACCTATACTCATACTAACTGTCACTGTCTATGCATATCCCTCTCTCCTTTCTCCTCTCCCATTTAACTCAAATCTATGGCGTGAACACGTCTTTCAAAACAAAGCTACAAAAAACGGTCATATACCAATGTCTTGGTTCATTACATCCTCTACACGCTTCTTTCTACATTTTCCTCACTGTTATTTACCTTTTAGTATTGGTTTCAATATTGGTTTTAATTTGTTTTTATTGTAAGTTAAATTGTTGAATTTTTCCTGTTATAGTTTGTTCATTGTAAGATTAGTGCAGTAAACCAGTTAGGCTCTAGGGTATAATTGTTTCATTGTTGAGAAATTATTTTCTAAGTAGACTCACCTGCTGTAAATGAGGTAGCATTTGTCATGCTCCGTCTATCTTGGACTTTGATTTAGTATATGAAAGGAACATGAAATTGTAAGTAGGCAGAAATAAAAAAGAAAAAGTCATTTGCTAAATGATAAATAAATAAGAAAGCTGTCAGTTGCTGTGATAATAATCAGGTCCTTTGCAGAAAGTCGCTCTGATCACCGTCTGCCTGAAAGAAACTCTGTCTCTCACCAGTTCTCCCGCCTCATTTTCTTTCATACTCAAGGAGTCACTTACACCCTGTGCCCATCTTCATGTTGGTCGGCCCCTGCCCCTCCTTCCTGGTACCATGCCTTCTGCTATAATTTTTGCTGTGATAAAGGAGTTAAATGATGCTGTATAGAATGATTGTTTTCCCTCTGTGTGTTCCTGGCTGTATAAAATGATTGTTTTCTCTGTGTGTGTTCCTGGCTGTATAGAATGATTGTTTTCTCTGTGTTGGTTCCTGGCTGTATAGAATGATTGTTTTCTCTATGTGTTCCTGGCTGTATAGAATGATTGTTTTTTCTGTGTGTGTTCCTGGCTGTATAGAATGGTTGTTTTCTCTGTGTGTGTTCCTGGCTGTATAGAATGATTGTTTTCTGTGTGTGTTCCTGGCTGTATAGAATGATTGTTTTCTCTGTGTGTGTTCCTGGCTGTATAGAATGATTGTTTTCTGTGTGTGTTCCTGGCTGTATAGAATGATTGTTTTCTCTGTGTTGGTTCCTGGCTGTATAGAATGGCTGTTTTCTCTGTGTGTGTTAATTGCTGTATAGAATTATTGTTTTCTCTATGTGTTCCTGGCTGTATAGAATGATTTTTCTGTGTGTGTGTTCCTGGCTGTATAGAGTGGCTGTTTTCTCTGTGTGTGTTCCTTGCTGTATAGAATGATTGTTTTTTCTATGTGTTCCTGGCTGTATAGAATGATTGTTTTCTCTGTGTTCCTGGCTGTATTGAATGATTGTTTTCTCTATGTGTTCCTGGCTGTATAGAATGATTGTTTTCTCTGTGTTGGTTCCTGACTGTATAGAATGGCTGTTTTCTCTGTGTATGTTCCTGGCTGTATAGAATGATTGTTTTCTCTGTGTGTGTTCCTGGCTGTATAGAATGGTTGTTTTCTCTGTGTGTGTTCCTGGCTGTATAGAATGATTGTTTTCTGTGTGTGTTCCTGGCTGTATAGAATGATTGTTTTCTCTGTTTGTGTTCTGGCTGTATAGAATGATTGTTTTCTCTGTGTGTGTTCCTGGCTGTATAGAATGATTGTTTTCTGTGTGTGTTCGTGGCTGTATAGAATGATTGTTTTCTCTGTGTGTGTTCCTGGTTGTATAGAATGATTGTTTTCTGTGTGTGTTCCTGGCTGTATAGAATGGTTGTTTTCTGTGTGTGTGTTCCTGGCTGTATAGAATGATTGTTTTCTGTGTGTGTTCCTGGCTGTATAGAATGATTGTTTTCTGTGTGTGTTCCTGGCTGTATAGAATGGTTGTTTTCTCTGTGTGTGTTCCTGGCTATATAGAATGATTGTTTTCTGTGTGTGTTCCTGGCTGTATAGAATGATTGTTTTCTCTGTGTGTGTTCTGGCTGTATAGAATGATTGTTTTCTCTGTGTGTGTTCCTGGCTGTATAGAATGATTGTTTTCTGTGTGTGTTCCTGGCTGTATAGAATGATTGTTTTCTCTGTGTGTGTTCCTGGCTGTATAGAATGATTGTTTTCTGTGTGTGTTCCTGGCTGTATAGAATGGTTGTTTTCTCTGTGTGTGTTCCCGGCTGTATAGAATGATTGTTTTCTCTAACATTGTTATCTTTTTGCAACCAGCCTGGAAGAAGGTGGTGCAACAGCACTGGGCCCAGCTCTTGTTGTTGCTGTAAACATGGCGGCCCACTTTCCAGGGTCAAAGGTGATTCTTTGCACTGATGGTAAAGCTAATATTGGCTTGGGAAAACTGGAGGATACAGCAGAGGAAAAGGAAGCTCTAGAGTTCTACAAAAAAGTTGCAAAGTCTGCCTTGAAGAAGGGGTAAGTGTCAACCACAATTCTTTGCCCCATGAATGCTAAGAAAAAAAAAATGTGAATACCTGGGAAAAATCTTTAAAGAAACAGCCATTTTACACAGGTTTAATAAGAAAAATAAAAAATAAAAAAATTTGAGTTATCTATGTTTTAAATGTTTTGTTTAGCAATATTTAATTTTAAAAAAAAAAAAAAGATGTAATCCTTAACATTCTAAGCTACATAAATCCTATCCTGATATATATAAGTGAATCATTAACAGTTGGATGATTAGTGAAAAATTATTTAGAATCTGTGGAGATGTGGTTTTAAAGATGAAAGTTTGTGCTGAGATGAGATATCCATCCTTCTGTTTGTGTTGAGATATCCATCCTTCTGTTTGTGTTGAGATATCTGTCCTTCTTTTTGTGTTGAGATATCTGTCCTTCTTTTTGTGTTGAGATATCTGTCCTTCTGTTTGTGTTATGATATCTGTCCTTCTGTTTGTGTTGAGATATCTGTCCTTCTGTTTGTGTTGAGATATCTGTCCTTCTGTTTGTGTTGAGATATCTGTCCTTCTGTTTGTGTTGAGATATCTGTTCTTCTGTTTGTGTTGAGATATTCACCTTTCTGTTTGTGTTGAAATATCCATCATTCTGTCTGTGTTGAGATATCCATCCTTCTGTTTGTGTTGAGATATCTGTCCTTCTGTTTGTGTTGAGATATCTGTCCTTCTTTTTGTGTTGAGATATCTGTCCTTCTGTTTGTGTTGAGATATCTGTCCTTCTTTTTGTGTTGAGATATCTGTTCTTCTGTTTGTGTTGAGATATTCACCTTTCTGTTTGTGTTGAAATATCCATCATTCTGTCTGTGTTGAGATATCTATCCTTCTGTTTGTGTTGAGATATCCATCCTTCTGTTTGTGTTGAGATATCCATCCTTCTGTTTGTGTTGAGATATCCATCATTCAGTTTGTGTTGAGATATCCATTCTTCTGTCTGTGTTGAGATATCCATCCTTCTGTTTGTGTTGAGATATCTATCCTTCTGTTTGTGTTGAGATATACATCCTTCTGTTTGTGTTGAGATATCCATCCTTCTGTCTGTGTTGAGATATCCATCCTTCTGTCTATGTTGAGATATCTGTCCTTCTGTTTGTGTTGAGATATCCATCCTTCTGTTTGTGTTGAGATATCCATCCTTCTGTCTGTGTTGAGCTATCCATCCTTCTGTTTGTGTTGAGATATCCATCCTTCTGTTATTTTTTAGATATCCATCCTTCTGTTTGTGTTGAGATATCCATCCTTCTGTTTGTGTTGAGATATTCATTCTTCTGTTTGTGTTGAGATATCCATCCTTCTGTCTGTGTTGAGATATCCATCCTTCTGTTTGTGTTGAGATATTCATCCTTCTGTTGTGTTGAGATATCCATCCTTCTGTCTGTGTTGAGATTTCCATCCTTCTGTTTGTGTTGAGATATCCATCCTTCTGTTTGTGTTGAGATATCCATCCTTCTGTTAGTGTTGAGATATCCACCCTTCTGTTAGTGTTGAGATATCCATCCTTCTGTTAGTGTTGAGATATCCATCCTTATGTTTGTGTTGAGATATCTATCCTTCTGTCTGTGTTTAAATATCCATCCTTCTGTCTGTGTTGAGATATCTGTCCTTCTGTTTGTGTTGAGATATCCATCCTTCTGTTTGTGTTGAGATATCTATCCTTCTGTTAGTGTTGAGATATCCATCCTTATGTTTGTGTTGAGATATCCATCCTTCTGTTGGTGTTGAGATATCCATCCTTCTGTTGTGTTGAGATATCCATCCTTCTGTCTGTGTTGAGATATCCATCCTTCTGTTTTTGTTGAGATATCTGTCCTTCTGTTTGTGCTGAGATATCCATCCTTCTGTTTGTGTTGAGATAGCCATCCTTCTGTTTGTGTTGAGATATCCATCCTTCTGTTTGTGTTGAGATATCTATCCTTCTGTCTGTGTTGAGATATCTATCCTTCTGTTTGTGTTGAGATATCTATCCTTCTGTCTGTGTTGAGATATCTATCCTTCTGTTTGTGTTGAGATATCTATCCTTCTGTTTGTGTTGAGATATCTATCCTTCTGTTTGTGTTGAGATATCTATCCTTCTGTTTGTGTTGAGATATCCATCCTTCTGTTTGTGTTGAGATATCTATCCTTCTGTTTGTGTTGAGATATCTATCCTTATGTTTGTGTTGAGATATCCATCCTTCTGTTTGTGTTGAGATATCTGTCCTTCTGTTTGTGTTGAGATATCCATCCTTCTGTTTGTGTTGAGATATCTATCCTTCTGTTTGTGTTGAGATATCTGTCCTTCTGTTTGTGTTGAGATATCTGTCCTTCTGTTTGTGTTGAGATATCTATCCTTCTGTTTGTGTTGAGATATCTGTCCTTCTGTTTGTGTTGAGATATCCATCCTTCTGTTTGTGTTGAGATATCTATCCTTCTGTTTGTGTTGAGATATCCATCCTTCTGTTTGTGTTGAGATATCTGTCCTTCTGTTTGTGTTGAGATATCTATCCTTCTGTTTGTGTTGAGATATCTATCCTTCTGTTTGTGTTGAGATATCTATCCTTCTGTTTGTGTTGAGATATCTATCCTTCTGTTTGTGTTGAGATATCTATCCTTCTGTTTGTGTTGAGATATCTCTCCTTATGTTTGTGTTGAGATATCCATCCTTCTGTTTGTGTTGAGATATCCATCCTTCTGTTTGTGTTGAGATATCCATTCTTCTATTCGTGTTGAGAAATATTCACCCTTCTGTTTGTGTTGAGATATCTGTCCTTCTGTTTGTGTTGAGTTATCCATCCTTTTGTTTGTATTGAGAAAGTGTGTCAATTCTGTTAATTCAGAATGTGTATCAGTCACATAGTCTAGTTGGGAGCCCTGGTGATGTAGCAGCTAGATGCTGGCCTGTGGATTGGAGGCTCTGGGGTTCGGGTCCTGATAGAGCCGGACATTTGTATACAAATGTCTGTGGTTCGCAGGTCGACCCAGCCTTGAGTGGCTACCAGGTTCAGTCCTGGGAAGTGAAGGCAACCAGCATTATGCTGACCACTTCATCCACCAAGTGCTGATGGGTCTATGACATATAGGTCTAGCCCTATATGCCCAATACACCTGGAGGCGTGGAAAAGGGTCCTTTACTTTACTTTGACACAGTCTCATTGAACTGCTGTGTGATTGACATATTTCAGCGTGACCTTGTCTGTGATCACTATTGGAGGCACAGACTGTAAATTAGTCCATCTGGGAATGTTGGCAGACAAGACAGGCGGCACGGTAGGTAGTATTGTCTAGAATATTTGCTGTCAGGCCAAAGGTTATTCATTAAAGGCATCTTGCTGTTTATTCGACTTCTTTTCACAGGAAAATAATGATTGGTTAAAACAATGATTGGTTAAAACAATGATTGGTTAAAATAATGATTGGTTAAACCAATGATTGGTTAAAACAATGATTGGTTAAAACAATGATTGGTTAAAACAATGATTGGTTAAAAATATTAATGGAAACAGTGGTTGGTTTATTCACTGTAACAGATTCAAATTTGTAGATGGATGCCACAGATTCTGACATGGTGCCTCCTTCCTTTTTTGTAAAAGATATGCTTTAATCAGATGACTAATATATATCAGATGACTGAATTAAGTTGTCAGTGGATTATTGTCAGTTGATTGAATTAAGTGGTCGGTGGATTATTGTCAGATGATTGAATTAAGCGATCAGTGGATTATAGTCAGATGATTGAATTAAGCGATCAGTGGATTATAGTACAGATGATTCAATTAAGCGGTCAGTGGATTAAAGTCATGATTGAATTAGGCAGTCAGTGGATTATAGTACAGATGATTGAATTAAGTGGTCAGTGGATTATAGTCAGATGATTGAATTAAGCAGTCAGTGGATTGTAGTAAAAGGATTGAATTAAGTGGTCAGTGGATTATAGTAAGATGACTGAATTGAGTTGTCATTGGCTTATAGTCAGATGATTGAATAAAGTTGTCACTAGATTATAGTCAGATGATTGAATACAGTTGTCACTAGATTATAGTCAGATGATTGAATAAAGTTGTCACTAGATTATAGTACAGATGATTGAATAAAGTTGTCACTAGATTATAGTCAGATGTTTGAGTAAAGTTGTCACTAGATTATAGTCAGATGTTTGAATAAAGTTGTCACTAGATTATAGTCAGATGATTGAATAAAGCTGTCACTAGATTATAGTCAGATGATTGAATAAAGTTGTCACTAGATTATAGTACAGATGATTGAATAAAGTTGTCATTAGATTATAGTCAGATGATTGAATAAAGTTGTCACTAGATTATAGTACAGATGATTGAGTAAAGCTGTCACTAGATTATAGTACAGATGATTGAATAAAGTTGTCACTAGATTATAGTACAGATGATTGAATAAAGTTGTCACTAGATTATAGTACAGATGATTGAATAAAGTTGTCACTAGATTATAGTCAGATGATTGAATACAGTTGTCTCTAGATTATAGTCAGATGTTTGAATACAGTTGTCACTAGATTATAGTCAGATGATTGAATACAGTTGTCACTAGATTATAGTCAGATGATTGAATACAGTTGTCACTAGATTATAGTCAGATGATTGAATACAGTTGTCACTAGATTATAGTCAGATGATTGAGTACAGTTGTCACTAGATTATAGTCAGATGATTGAATAAAGCTGTCACTAGATTATAGTCGGATGATTGAATAAAGTTGTCACTAGATTATAGTACAGATGATTGAGTAAAGTTGTCACTAGTTTATAGTCAGATGATTGAATACAGTTGTCACTAGATTATAGTCAGATGATTGAATAAAGTTGTCACTAGATTATAGTCAGATGATTGAATACAGTTGTCACTAGATTATAGTCAGATGATTGAATAAAGTTGTCACTAGATTATAATCAGATGATTGAATACAGTTGTCACTAGATTATAGTCAGATGATTGAATAAAGCTGTCACTCGATTATAGTCAGATGATTGAATAAAGTTGTCACTAGATTATAGTCAGATGATTGAATAAAGTTGTCACTAGATTATAGTACAGATGATTGAATAAAGCTGTCACTAGATTATAGTCAGATGATTGTATGGCGCTGTAGTGTCAAGAATAGTGCATCATGGCAAGAGTTACCCAACAACATGATTCCTCAATAAACAGCAAATATTGTGGAGATCCCAAAACCTCACATGTAAAAATAAATATGACTGCTTAGAGCACAAGCTAACTTTACCTATATATATGGGTGTGAAATGTAGATTTACATATCCAAACTTGAAAGGAAAATTTGAGTACTGTAATGGAGATATTTAGAAAGATCCTTGGTATATCATACAGGTTGGTAGGTAGTTAGTTGAACCCCACCAGGACATCACACAAGCGATAAAAACTCGGTGACACAAAGTGCCACGATGCGGATGAAGGTCACCCGTGGAAAGATCCTGGAAACCCTGTTCAGCTTTAAGGCCATATTAAAGGCCTGGCTATATTTAGGGCGCCGGCAAAAGCCAGGCTGGGGCTTTAAAATAACTAACAATTGCATCACACAAGGGGATGACAGTATTATGCATAGATATATCATACAGAGACCATGGCACAGTGATATCTGTCACAGGGGTGAGGGAAAGATAAAGCCATGTTCATGTGTATATGAGTTACCATGTACCTCACCTCGGGTACCAGTCGGATCTTGGATGGTTTTACAGATCCTCAAGCAAGACTCCTGCCGCACGTCCATGTTGTACCGCACGGATAAGGGCTCACCTTTGTGACCTAAACCAAGTTGGCAGGGGATCTCAGAGTTGATGGCCTCTAGAGATGTGGTGTCCAGCCTGGCTCACATCAGCCCACCTCAACGCATGGACGAGAACATCTATCAAAGCTCATTTAGAACATGGGTAAAGTCTGCTCGCTGAAAATACTACAAAATGACAACCCTTTGTGAAAATGTCTGTAAAGTGGGAGTACTACTGTACTGATGAGATTCAGCCTAGAAGCCAAGAGATTTGCTTGCAGCCTAGCTCATTGGAAACTATGAACCTCTTCTAACAACCTCAAAAAGATGGAACATGCAATGGCCCGGACATGTCAAAAGATCGACCATCCTTTCCAGAATATTACTACAGGGCTTGGTGGAGGGGAAGAAGAGTAAGGGCTTGGTGGAGGGGAAGAAGAGTAAGGGTTTGGTGGAGGGGAAGAAGAGTAAGGGCTTGGTGGAGGGGAAGAAGAGTAAGGGCTTGTTGGAGGGGAAGAAGAGTAAGGGCTTGGTGGAGGGGAAGAAGAGTAAGGGCTTGGTGGAGGGGAAGAAGAGTAAGGGCTTGGTGGAGGGAAAGAAGAGTAAGGGCTTGTAGGAGGGAAAGAAGAGTAAGGGCTGTGGGGTAGGGGTAGATTTCAAATGTTTATAGGAAATTCAGTTGCATATTTGTGACTAGTGTAGCCATAGAGTTCTGACAGAGATTATTGACTGATGTGGCCAAGAAGTTTTCTTCTTCTTCTTCTGCAGCTTCAGCAGCATTCTGAGCCCTTGGGGTTTATTGCTGCCTCCATTCACCTCTCTGATTGGCCTTCTCTTTCCAGTTCCTGACACCAAGTGTTTGCAGGTCTGTCTGGACATTATCTCTCCATCGATCTTGGTCTGCCTCATGGTCTACAACCATCATCTCCCTTGTGTATACAGTTTTTGCTTCTGTCATCTGACATTCTTTCAAATGTCCCAACCATTTCAGTCTAGCTCTCATGGTACCAGTGATCAGTGGTGATTTAAACAGATTAGGAATTTTGTTGTTGCTTCTCACTCTACATTCCCCTCTGTTTGCATCTTTGATGGGTCCAAAGATTCATCGCAAGACTCTATTTTCGAAAATCTGTAATCCTTTGTAGGGAGGAGGGCCAAGAAATCGAGTACAGATTATTTAATAGTTGGCCAAGGAGTTTGAATATAGAGTAACCCGATAACTATGGTACAATTTATTGGATAGGTATGTTTTCCCATGTGTATTTTGGAACCAACCGTCTGCATACAACTAAGCCAGATTTGTAAAATGGGTGTCGCACAAAACAAGTTCTATATCAAGATCAAAATCCAGGAGTGGACCAACAACCAGAACCATCTGCCAGAGTTTACAGCAGGTGAACTCTAATGAGAAGAAGAAGACAAGAGTTTACAGCAAGTGAACTCTAATAATAAGAAGAAGACAAGAGTTTACAGCAAGTGAACTCTAATAATAAGAAGAAGACAAGAGTTTACAGCAAGTGAACTCTAATAATAATAAGAAGAAGACAAAAGTTTACAGCAAGTGAACTCTAATAATAAGAAGAAGACAAGAGTTTACAGCAAGTGAACTCTAATAATAAGAAGAAGACAAGAGTTTACAGCAAGTGAACTCTAATAATAATAATAAGAAGACAAGAGTTTACAGCAAGTGAACTCTAATAATAAGAAGAAGACAAGAGTTTACAGCAAGTGAACTCTAATAATAAGAAGAAGACAAGAGTTTAAAGCAAGTGAACTCTAATAATAATAAGAAGACAAAAGTTTACAGCAAGTGAACTCTAATAAGAAGAAGAAGACAAGAGTTTACAGCAAGTGAACTCTAATAATAAGAAGAAGACAAGAGTTTAAAGCAAGTGAACTCTAATAAGAAGAAGAAGACAAGAGTTTACAGCAAGTGAACTCTAATAATAAGAAGAAGACAAGAGTTTACAGCAAGTGAACTCTAATGAGAAGAAGAAGACAAGAGTTTACAGCAAGTGAACTCTAAAAAGAAGAAGAATAGAATAAATAGGTGGGTGGAATCATTTGGTGGCTGATTATTTGGACTAGTTGAGAGGTAACAGCACAAAATATTAACCTCTATTGAATGTTATTGACTATTGACAAGATTGTTATCATTGTTTTCATTATCCATTTACTAATTTGCTCTGTGGGAGTTAGCTTGCATAGATTTCAGTAATTTTGTTGGTTTAAAAATTACCTTAGACAGTTTATTGTCCACAAGTGAATTCCCCATATGGGTTCCTGGGCTGCATTGTTGGGAGAACAAGTATAGACCCATTCTCTCCCCAACAGAACAAGTATAGACCCATTCTCTCCACAACAGAACAAGTATAGACCCATTCTCTCCCCAACAGAACAAGTATAGACCCACTCTCTCCCCAACAGAACAAGTATAGACCCACTCTCTCCCCAACAGAACAAGTATAGACCCAATCTCTCCCCAACAGAACAAGTATAGACCCACTTTCTCCCCAACAGAACAAGTAGAGACCCACTTTCTCCCCAACAGAACAAGTATAGACCCATTCTCTCCCCAACAGAACAAGTATAGACCCACTCTCTCCCCAACAGAACAAGTATAGACCCACTCTCTCCCCAACAGAACAAGTATAGACCCATTCTCTCCCCAACAGAACAAGTATAGACCCATCCTCTCCCCAACAGAACAAGTATAGACCCATTCTCTCCCCAACAGAACAAGTATAGACCCATTCTCTCCCCAACAGAACAAGTATAGACCCATTCTCTCCCCAACAGAACAAGTATAGACCCACTCTCTCCCCAACAGAACAAGTATAGACCCACTCTCTCCCCAACAGAATAAGTATAGACCCATTCTCTCCCCAACAGAACAAGTATAGACCCACTCTCTCCCCAACAGAACAAGTATAGACCCACTCTCTCCCCAACAGAACAAGTATAGACCCATTCTCTCCCCAACAGAACAAGTATAGACCCATTCTCTCCCCAACAGAACAAGTATAGACCCACTCTCTCCCCAACAGAACAAGTATAGACCCACTCTCTTCCCAACAGAACAAGTATAGACCCATTCTCTCCCTAACAGAACAAGTATAGACCCATTCTCTCCCCAACAGAACAAGTATAGACCCATTCTCTCCCCAACAGAACAAGTATAGACCCATTCTCTCCCCAACAGAACAAGTATAGACCCATTCTATTCCCAACAGAACAAGTATAGACCCATTCTCTTCCCAACAGAACAAGTATAGACCCACTCTCTTCCCAACAGAACAAGTATAGACCCACTCTCTCCCCAACAGAACAAGTATAGACCCATTCTCTCCCCAACATAACAAGTATAGACCCACTCTCTCCCCAACAGAACAAGTATAGACCCATTCTCTCCCCAACAGAACAAGTATAGACCCACTCTCTCCCCAACAGAACAAGTATAGACCCATCCTCTCCCCAACAGAACAAGTATAGACCCATCCTCTCCCCAACAGAACAAGTATAGACCCATTCTCTCCCCAACAGATTAAGTATAGACCCATTCTCTCCCCAACAGAACAAGTATAGACCCATCCTCTCCCCAACAGAACAAGTATAGACCCACTCTCTCCCCAACAGAACAAGTATAGACCCACTCTTTCCCCAACAGAACAAGTATAGACCCATCCTCTCCCCAACAGAACAAGTTTAGACCCATTCTCTCCCCAACAGAACAAGTATAGACCCATCCTCTCCCCAACAGAACAAGTATAGACCCATTCTCTCCCCAACAGAACAAGTATAGACCCACTCTCTCCCCAACAGAACAAGTATAGACCCATTCTCTCCCCAACAGAACAAGTATAGACCCATTCTCTCCCCAACAAGCATGTTGTAAGAGTCGACTAATTGGGGACTTCCTTTGAAGTTGGAGTGCATCTACCCTAGCAGCTAGGAACAACCAACTGCACACAAAAAAGCCAGTAAAACAGATGTGCACACAAAACTCAGGCCCTGGCACAAAGCCAAAGTCCAATTGGACGATCAACCAGGAATTTCTGCCAGAGCTTACAGCCGGTGGACAGAAGATAAAAAAAGAAGAAAAGGTGAACAGTGACTTCCCTGCTTTTAAACATCTAAATCTGTAAACATCTAAATCTTTAAACATCTAAATCTGAGTATGAAAGTCCAGGATGTTTCACTGTTACTGCAATTGCAAAGATGGACACTATAAAGTTTGAGACTTCAGGTGTAAATATCTTGAGAAAAGCCTGCTGCATGTCAGTTAATTTGAAGTTAGTTGTTTGTGTGCACTTTTAACCACCGAAGAGTTGCCCCAAATAATCAGGGCAAGCACTAACCTGATCTCCTGGTTTGTGCAGGTCAACACTGTAGATCCGCTGAAGCTGACAGAAGAGTTTGGCAACATCATTGCTGAGCCAGTCATTGCCACCAGGGTCCAGGCCACATTCCTTCTTCATAAAGAATTGTAAGTTGTGAAACTGTGATAGACATTACACTAACCATGCCAGTGTCTCCTAACCTCTCAGTCTAACTGTCAAGGATGTCAGGAGTGTTAAGCATCCAGCATCACATCATAAAAGATGGTCACTCTACTTTTGAGATGCAGGAAGGAGGAGCAGCAGTTGTTGAAAAAAAAAATTTTTTTGGGTTATATAATGAAGGAGTTAAACCTTTAGAAATGTATTGCTGAATGAAAGATGGTTCAGTAAGGTGATGCCTGCCTGTCAGTCCAGCTGGTGTGTGAGTGCAGCAGCAAGTTTTCAGACATGGCGTGGGTCTGTTACGACCTCTGGTGTCACTGCTGGGTGTGTCTGACCGGATTGTGATTAACCTGACTCAGAAGTCATGCTGTTTCGAAATGTCTGACCCCACTCATACATTTGCTGGCCTGCAGGTGTGCATCATGGTTCTGGACCATTATTGTCTGCTGAATAACTCAACATTTCACCCCATCACTGATTTAAAAAGAAAATGGATAATAGAACACTGCTCCTCTTTGGCCATTTAAAATTAGGCGGCCATCTTCTTAATTTTTTTTTCTTAAACCAGAAGCACATTTGGCTTAGTGTTGTGAGCATTGAGGCACTTTAGCCTCGGTACCATGTACACGGTTAATCTGGGGAGTATGCTGCTTTTCTGTCATCACCCAACTCGAATCCATTAAAAGACACACATAGGGATTGTCACGTGACATCCAGTGCGCTATCAACTACACTGGAGTGCCAGACTGCACTTAGATGTCATATGCTTGACACTCTTGATCTACAAGACAGTAGCATGGTTATTATGATTACTATGTATTTACCTGTGACAAACTAAATTGTAGCTTGAAATTGCAGTTCATGAAAGAACTACTGCTTTTCCTTGGTTTCTTGATGTGCCTTCCAGCTGTCCCTGATGTGCCTTCCAGCTGTCCTTAATGTGCCTTCCAGCTGTCCCTGATGTGCCTTCCAGCTGTCCTTAATGTGCCTTCCAGCTGTCCTTAATGTGCCTTCCAGCTTTCCCTGATGTGCCTTTCAGCTTTCCCTGATGTGCCATCCAGCTTTCCCTGATGTGCCTTCCAGCTGTCCCTGATGTGCCTTCCAGCTGTCTTTAATGTGCCTTCCAGCTGTCCTTAATGTGCCTTCCAGCTGTCCCTGATGTGCCTTCCAGCTGTCCTTAATGTGCCTTCCAGCTGTCCCTGATGTGCCTTCCAGCTGTCCTTAATGTGCCTTCCAGCTGTCCCTGATGTGCCTTCCAGCTGTCCCTGATGTGCCCTCCAGCTGTCCCTAATGTACCTTCCAGCTGTCCTTAATGTGCCTTCCAGCTGTCCTTAATGTGCCTTCCAGCTTTCTCTGATGTGCCTTCCAGCTGTCCTTAATGTGGCTTTCAGCTTTCTCTGATGTGCCTTCCAGCTGTCCTTAATGTGCCTTCCAGCTGTCCTTAATGTGCCTTCCAGCTGTCCTTAATGTGCCTTCCAGCTTTCTCTGATGTGCCTTCCAGCTGTCCTTAATGTGGCTTCCAGCTGTCCTTAATGTGGCTTCCAGCTGTCCTTAATGTGCCTTCCAGCTGTCCTTTATGTGCCTTCCAGCTGTCCCTAATGTGCCTTCCAGCTGTCCTTAATGTGCCTTCCAGCTGTCCCTGATGTGCCTTCCAGCTGTCCTTGATGTGCCTTCCAGCTGTCCTTAATGTGGCTTCCAGCTTTCTCTGATGTGCCTTCCAGCTGTCCTTAATGTGGCTTCCAGCTGTCCTTAATTTGGCTTCCAGCTGTCCCTGATGTGCCTTCCAGCTTTCCCTGATGTGCCTTCCAGCTTTCCCTGATGTGCCTTCTAGCTTTCCCTGATGTGCCTTCCAGCTGTCCCTGATGTGCCTTCCTCTTGTGGATGTCTACGTTTCCTCAGTCCCTCTGTTTCCCATTTCAGTGCCTGCTTTGTGATTCTCTGTCTCTTCTCAAAATATGTCCAAATAGGACCCTCTCTTCTGTCTTATAACTGTTGACACTAGTGGTTGCCTAGACATTTCTCTTAGTTTTTGGTTTTCACACCTTAAATTAATCCCATTTTATCTTCATAATTTTCCTCAGACTTTTGTTTTCACACCTTAAATTAATCCCATTTTATCTTCATAATTTTCTTAGACATTTGCTTTTGAATGCATTTAAATTTCATTGCTTATCTTTAGTAGTTCAGCTTTCATTGTTAAATACATTGAGAAAATGGAAACTAGTGCTAGTACTGTTGTATGTCTGTAATGGCAGTGTTCGTATGTTGTTATTTTTGCACTCATATTAGAAGACATCAGAGTTTGTATTTCAATACAGGTATGGGATTTAATGTACTTGTCTACAGGTATATGTTCCAATCAATTTACATGTCAACAGTTGTGTGTTTCAATCAATTTACTTGTCCACAGTTGTGTGTTTCACTCAGTTTACTTGTCCACAGTTGTGTGTTTCAATCAACTCACATGTCTGCAGTTGTGTTTCAATCGATTCACGTGTCTACAGTTGTGTGTTTCAATCAATTTACTTGTCTACTGTTGTGTGTTTCAGTCAGTTTACTTTACAGCTGTGTGTTTCAGTCAATTTTCTTTTCTACAGTTGTGTGTTTCCATTAATTAAATTGTCCACGGTTGTGTGTTTCAGTTCAGTCAATTTACTTGTCCACGGTTATGTGTTTCAGACAGTTTACATGTCTACATTTGTGTGTTTCAGTCAATTTACATGTCTACGGTTTATTTGTTTCAGTCAATTTACTTGTATACGGTTGAATGTGACAATCAATTTACTTGTCCACAGTTGTGTGTTTCAGTCAATTCATTTCTTTACAGATATGTGAATTAGTGTTCTTGTCTACAGGTACTTGATTTAGTGTTCTAGTCTACAGGTACGTGATTTAGTGTACATGTCTACAGGTACATGATTTAGTGTACATGTCTACAGGTACATGATTTAGTGTACATGTCTACAGGTACGTGATTTAGTGTACATGTCTACAGGTACATGATTTAGTGTACATGTCTACAGGTACATGATTTAGTGTACATGTCTACAGGTACGTGATTTAGTGTACATGTCTACAGGTACATGTCTACAGTGTGATTTAGTGTACATGTCTACAGGTACGATGATTTAGTGTGTGTCTACAGGTACATGTCTACAGGTACGTGATTTAGTGTACATGTCTACAGGTACGTGATTTAGTGTACATGTCTACAGGTACTATTTAGTGTACATGTCTACAGGTACGTGATTTAGTGTACATGTCTACAGGTACGTGATTTAGTGTACATGTCTACAGGTACGTGATTTAGTGTACATGTCTACAGGTACGTGATTTAGTGTACATGTCTACAGGTACGTGATTTAGTGTACATGTCTACAGGTACGTGATTTAGTGTACATATCTACAGGTACGTGATTTAGTGTACATGTCTACAGGTACGTGATTTAGTGTACATATCTACAGGTATGTGATTTAGTGTACATATCTACAGGTACTTGATTTAGTGTTCTAGTCTACAGGTACTTGATTTAGTGTTCTAGTCTACAGGTACTTGATTTTTAGTGTACATGTCTACAGGTACGTGATTTGTACATGTCTACAGGTACATATCTACAGGTACTTGATTTAGTGTACATGTCTACAGGTACGTGATTTAGTGTACATATCTACAGATTTTTAGTGTACATGTCTACAGGTACTACAGGTATGTGATTTAGTGTACATGTCTACAGGTACTTGATTTGTTCTAGTGTACATTTAGTGTACTACAGGTACTGATTTAGTGTTCATGTCTAGTACTTGATTTAGTGTACATATCTACAGGTACTTGATTTAGTGTACTACTACAGGTACTTGATTTAGTGTACATATCTACAGGTACTTGATTTAGTGTACTACAGGTACTTGATTTAGTGTACATGTCTACAGGTACTTGATTTAGTGTACATATCTACAGGTCTATTTAGTGTACAGGTACAGGTACTTGATTTAGTGTACTATCTACAGGTACTTGATTTAGTGTACATATCTACAGGTACTTGATTTAGTGTACATATCTACAGGTACTTGATTTAGTGTACATAGTCTACAGGTACTTGATTTAGTGTACATCTACTACTTGATTTAGTGTACAGGTACTTGATTTAGTGTACATTTAGTCTACAGGTACTTGATTTAGTGTACATGTCTACAGGTACTTGATTTAGTGTACATGTCTACAGGTCTATTTAGTGTATCTACAGGTACTTGATTTAGTGTACATGTCTACAGGTACTTGATTTAGTGTACATATCTACAGGTACTTGATTTAGTGTACATGTCTACAGGTACTTGATTTAGTGTACATATCTACAGGTACTTGATTTAGTGTACATATCTACAGGTACTTGATTTAGTGTACATACAGGTACTTGATTTAGTGTTCTAGTCTACAGGTACTTGATTTAGTGTTCATGTCTACAGGTACTTGATTTAGTGTACATGTCTACAGGTACTTGATTTAGTGTACATGTCTACAGGTACTTGATTTAGTGTACATGTCTACAGGTACTTGATTTAGTGTTCATGTCTACAGGTACTTGATTTAGTGTACATGTCTACAGGTACTTGATTTAGTGTACATGTCTACAGGTACTTGATTTAGTGTACAGTCTACAGTTGATTTAGTGTACATGTCTACAGGTACTTGATTTAGTGTACATGTCTACAGGTACTTGATTTAGTGTACATGTCTACAGTACATTTAGTCTACAGGTACAGGTACTTGATTTAGTGTACATGTCTACAGGTACTTGATTTAGTGTACATGTCTACAGGTACATGTCTACAGATTTAGTGTACATGTCTACAGGTACTTGATTTAGTGTACATGTCTACAGGTACTTGATTTAGTGTACATGTCTACAGGTACTTGATTTAGTGTACATGTCTACAGTTTAGTGTTCTATGTCTACAGGTACTTGATTTAGTGTTCATGTCTACAGGTACTTGATTTAGTGTACATGTCTACAGGTACTTGATTTAGTGTACACTGTCTACATGTACATTTAGTGTACATGTCTACAGGTACTTGATTTAGTGTAGGTACTGTTTAGTGTACATGTCTACAGGTACTTGATTTAGTGTACATGTCTACAGGTACTTGATTTAGTGTACATGTCTACAGGTACTTGATTTAGTGTACATGTCTACATTTAGTGTACATGTCTACAGGTACTTGATTTAGTGTACATGTCTACAGGTACTTGATTTAGTGTACATGTCTACAGGTACGTGATTTAGTGTACATGTCTACAGGTACGTGATTTAGTGTACATGTCTACAGGTACTTGATTTAGTGTTCTAGTCTACAGGTACGTGATTTAGTGTACATGTCTACAGGTACAGGATTTAGTGTACATGTCTACAGGTACGTGATTTAGTGTACATGTCTACAGGTACATGATTTAGTGTACATGTCTACAGGTACAGGATTTAGTGTTCTAGTCTACAGGTACAGGATTTAGTGTACATGTCTACAGGTACGTGATTTAGTGTACATGTCTACAGGTACAGGATTTAGTGTACATGTCTACAGGTACAGGATTTAGTGTACATGTCTACAGGTACGTGATTTAGTGTACATGTCTACAGGTACAGGATTTAGTGTACATGTCTACAGGTACTTTAGTGTACATGTCTACAGTTTAGTGTTCTAGTCTACAGGTATTTAGTGTACATGTCTACAGGTACAGGATTTAGTGTACATGTCTACAGGTACGTGATTTAGTGTTCTAGTCTACAGGTACGTGATAGTGTACATGTGATTTAGTGTACTATGTCTACAGGTACGTTTAGATTTAGTGTACTTAGTGTCTACAGGTACGTGATTTAGTGTACATGTCTACAGGTACGTGATTTAGTGTACATGTCTACAGGTACGTGATTTAGTGTACATGTCTACATTTAGTGTACTACAGGTACGTGATTTAGTGTACATGTCTACAGGTACGTGATTTAGTGTACTAGTCTACAGGTACGTGATTTAGTGTACTAGTCTACAGTACGTGATTTAGTGTCTACTACAGGTACGTGATTTAGTGTACAGTCTACAGGTACGTGATTTAGTGTACATGTCTACAGGTACGTGATTTAGTGTACATGTCTACAGGTACGTGATTTAGTGTTAGTACGTGATTTAGTGTACATGTATTTAGTGTACATGTCTACAGGTACGTGATTTAGTGTTGTCTACAGTCTACAGGTACATGTACAGTACGATTTAGTGTACATGTCTACAGGTACGTGATTTAGTGTACATGTCTACAGGTACGTGATTTAGTGTACATGTCTACAGGTACGTGATTTAGTGTACATATCTACAGGTACGTGATTTAGTGTACATGTCTACAGGTACATGATTTAGTGTACATGTCTACAGGTACGTGATTTAGTGTTCTAGTCTACCGGTACGTGATTTAGTGTTCTAGTCTACAGGTACGTGATTTAGTGTACATGTCTACAGGTACGTGATTTAGTGTACATATCTACAGGTACGTGATTTAGTGTACATATCTACAGGTACATGATTTAGTGTACATGTCTACAGGTACGTGATTTAGTGTTCTAGTCTACCGGTACGTGATTTAGTGTTCTAGTCTACCGGTACGTGATTTAGTGTTCTAGTCTACCGGTACGTGATTTAGTGTACATGTCTACAGGTACGTGATTTAGTGTACATGTCTACAGGTACATGATTTAGTGTACATGTCTACAGGTACGTGATTTAGTGTACATGTCTACAGGTACATGATTTAGTGTACATGTCTACCGGTACGTGATTTAGTGTTCTAGTCTACCGGTACGTGATTTAGTGTTCTAGTCTACAGGTACTTGATTTAGTGTACATGTCTACAGGTACTTGATTTAGTGTACATGTCTACAGGTACGTGATTTAGTGTTCTAGTCTACCGGTACGTGATTTAGTGTTCTAGTCTACCGGTACGTGATTTAGTGTTCTAGTCTACAGGTACGTGATTTAGTGTACATGTCTACAGGTACGTGATTTAGTGTACATATCTACAGGTACGTGATTTAGTGTACATGTCTACAGGTATGTGATTTAGTGTACATGTCTACAGGTACGTGATTTAGTGTACATGTCTACTGGTATGTGATTTAATCTACTTATCTACTGGTGTGTGATTTTATGTGATTGTTTGCAGGTATGTGATTTAGTTTATTTATCTGCAGGTGTGTGATTTAGTATACCTGTCTATGGGTATATTATTTATAATCTACTTATCTACAGGTATGCGCTTTGATGTGATTGTCTTAAGGTATGTGATTTAATGTTGCATGTATATGTTTTAAATGAACTTGTCTACATGTGTGTGATTTAATCTCTACAGGTATGTAATTGATGATATGAATCCAGACAATAAGTGTTCTAAAGTACAGCGTAATGTTGGAAATGCTCGAAGCAGCACTGCAATTACATTTGAGTTTGCACGGCGGCACCATCCACAAGGTACTGACAGTTTATTTCTTTCAGTTATTCTCTTATACACAAGTTGAGAAACATTGTTTCCTATTAACTATTTTGTGTGCAGCAAACCGTACTGAATGATTGCAATTTTCTGTATCTCCACAGTGGTTAAGCAAGTGTTTTCAAACTTTTTTTTAAAATCCTGTCATCCGGTTTGTAAGTACATGTGATTTTTAAATCCCTGGGGGTCACTGTTGAAGCTATAGGGTATGTAGTTTGTGCAATACCCTTGATGGGTGACCAGCTACTCAGTAGTGAGATACAAAGTCAAAGAGAATAAAACCCAGAGCATTGAAGTTGGTCTTCTCTTTCTTAAAAACAGTTTAGCTAAAAAAAAATTGAGACATTTAATTGAAGTAGCTTGCACTGGCTAAAACCTACATGCTTACAATGTGCGCTTAAAAGATGTGCTTGAAAAGCTGCGCCCATATGGTATGCTTACAAGGTGTGCTTCAAGGTGCACCTACAAGCTGTGCTTACAAGGTACTTAAAGTTGTGCTTACAAGCTGTGCTTACAAGGTGTGCTTACAAGCTGTGCTTACAATGTGTGCTTACAAGCTGTGCTTACAAGCTGTGCTTACAAGCTGTGTTTACAATGTGTGCTTTCAAGGTGCACCTACAAGCTGTGCTTACAAGCTGTGCTTACAAGCTGTGCTTATAAGGTGTGCTTACAAGCTGTGCTTACAAGGTGTGCTTACAAGCTGTGTTTACAAGGTGCACCTACAAGCTGTGCTTACAAGCTGTACTTACAAGCTGTGGTTACAAGGTGCACTTGTATCTTGGATATGTTCGCTTTGTGATAGAGTACAACAACTCACTGCTTACAGCTTGCTCCAAAACTAACCTAGAGACTCTTGACAGAGTACAATATAATGCCCTCCGATTAATCTGCAGAGCTATGCAGTCTACACCAACTGCTGCATGTGAAATCCATACAAATGTGGAACCCCTCAGGTTGCGGAGAGAAAAAGCAACTTTAGAAATTTATGAAAGATTTGTTAGAATGAATTGTAAACATCCTAATAGACACCTTTTAGAAAACTGGGAATTCAAACAAAGAATAAAGCACAAATTGGTTTTACACTGGGTTCATGAAATTCAGGACAGATACCACCTCCCAGAAAGACCTCAAGGCATTTAGAATGTTGCAAGAAACTTACCACCACATGCTCGCTTTAAAACTCCAGAAATCAGGATGAAATTGGTAGACAAAGAATCCAAACAGTCCGACCCAATCACCCTTGTGAACTCATCACTAAAGACCATTGATTCTTACCCCGAAGAATGCATACATGTTTATGCTGATGGATTTGCATTCAAAGCTACCATTAAAGCAGGTTACGGAATCTACATAGGTTATCCCGATGGATCTGTTGAAGAGATATTTCATGCATGCAGGGAATTCTGCTCAAATTATGAAGGAAATAATTGCACTGGAAACAGCAGTATACCACCCAAAGACTGTAATGAATGTTTACCCTTCAAAGGCCCTAAATATTGTCATCTTTACAGATTCAGTGTCTGCTCTTCAAGCTCTGGAGGGCAGTGAATGCTGCAGAACTGACATAGCCAAGATAATTACAGAGAGTTTACAGCTGGTGAATGCGAAGAAGAAGAAGAAGAAGAAGAAGTGAAATATCAGACCAGGAAGAGAAATCTCAGATACTGATATTCTGTCAGTTTGCTTACATTGTGGCATTCATCATTAGAAAATCCCTTTACTGCTGAAGGTGAAACCTGAACAGTCGAGACTGTAAAACAGTACTCTCGCTTTTTTGAAAATCACATTTGGAAATGCTCATAGTAGAAATTAAATTAATTAAGCTTGTCTAGTTGCCTTGAATGAAATAGAACTGTTGTATTTTCAGATTTGCAGACACCAAGCCCCGAGAAGGCAAAAAAAGCAGCAGCAAAGGTGAAAATAAAGAATGTTTTTGCTGCTTGTATTGTATTAATATTATTGCAGGCAGCTTAGTTTGTTCCTTACTGTTTGGCAGTAAGCTTGTCTTGTTACTGCAGTCTTAATGTTGCAGACTCATAAGATGATTCATAGCATCTCTTACAACAAACAATTAGCAAAATGGATATAAATAAGGACACATAAAATATTTTATAACTCTAGACATTTTCATCATCATTTTCCAGCCGATAATCATGCTTCATGATCTCACATAACTGCCAGATTGTCAAAGCGTTTCCGTTTTCCTTAAAAAAGGGCCATTTGTCGAAGCCATCACTGTGCCAATCACTTTTTCCTTTCAAATTTAGCAACAGAAATATATAGCTCAGCTAGGAAAAGCTGCATCTCAAAGGAAAATAGTGCTTTAAAACTACCTGTTGATTTAAAATAAAACATAGGTAAAAAAAACAACCCAGTCTTTTCTGTGTGGCAGTGGTTATAATGCCTCTTTTGAAATGCATCCCTCTTATATCATTGATAGCAATGTGCAGTGGGTGATTGTTTGCTAATGTACGCTTTCACCAGTGTTACTTTATGTCTGGTGGCCATCATCGTTAAACCCAGGATGTATCACATTACCTGGCACACTGTGTCTAACACAGATGTTATTCTGTGTATTGTTGCCAGACTGCTCACATCTTGTTACAAACTGTTACCAAATAGCTACATTTATATCTTTGCCTACACTTAGGATCTCCTGGTTTATTTTCAGGGTTAAAAAAAAAAGTTGTGTTTTCTTTACTAGACATTGCAGAAGCAACTACAGCATTTTGTTTTTCTGTGCACATTTTATGTTCATTAGTTTGCCCTTGCTTTCTGAATTTAGCAAGGGTAAACAGTTTCATAATTCACTTTAGTCGCTAATGGAGTCTTTTTTTTTCATAACTCCAGGGTAAGGAAGCTCGACGCAGCAGCAGCCTGTCTGTGACAGAAGAGCTCCCATTCCAGCTACAGATCGAGTACACAGACACAGAAGGAAATCAGGCTCTTAGAGTGGTCACCCGCAGGATGCCAGTGACTACCAACAGGGATTTATCTGAGGAGTGTAAGGAAGATGACTTGTTCTGGGTTCATGTTAACTCAGGAGTGTGACTCACATATATGGCAGATTTGTTCTAGGTTCATGTTAACTCAGGAGTGTGACTCACATATGTGGCAGATTTGTTCCTCCCTCACAGGTGATGAGACCACTCTTTCTGTCATCTATCTTGAAACTACTATTGGTTGTCTGTGAGTCTGGAGGTGACTTATAAGTCCAGTATGAGCTCGGAAGGATCTAGGATGATGAGGGCAGTAGACAGTGTCTCTAGATAAAGGGCCTGTTGTATGGGTCTTTCTAGCATGTCTTCTCATTGTTGAGCTGCTGTTTTTGTAGATGCCTTGCAGGTTGCTGCGCTATGTGTAGAAGTAATAAAGAAATAAATCACTGAGAAATTCTTGAGCGATACAAAATAGACATGTATTGATTGACACCCATGAAAAGAAGTGGTTCCTTACATTTTTGTTCAAGACTTGTTGGGCAGTTTGGTAGCATGGTATAGAATCGAGAAATATTGTGGGTGACAGTCAATGCATGTCAGTTTGTTTATCATACTGCTTGTAGAAGTTAGCACAACCACTGTGACAGATGACAGGCAGCACAGCTGCTGTGACAGATGACAGGCAGCACAGCTGCTGTGACAGATGACAGGCAGCACAGCCGCTGTGACAGATGACAGGCAACACAGCCACTGTGACAGATGACATGCACCACAGCTGCTGTGACAGATGACAGGCAGCACAGCCGCTGTGACAGATGACAGGCAGCACAACCATTGTGACAGATGACAGGCAGCACAGCTGCTGTGACAGATGACAGGCAGCACAACCACTGTAACAAATGACAGGCAGCACAGCCACTGTGACAGATGGCAGGCAGCACAACCACTGTGACAGATGACAGGCAGCCCAACCACTGTGACAGATGACAGGCAGCACAGCGGCTGTGATGGATGACAGGCAGCACAGCCACTGTGACAGATGACAATCAGCACAACCACTGTGACAGATGACAGGCAGCACAACCACTGTGACAGATGACAGGCAGCAAAACCACTGTGACAGATGACAGGCAGCACAGCTGCTGTGACAGATGCCAGGCAGCACAACCACTATGACAGATGACAGGCAGCACAACCGCTGTGACAGATGACAGGCAGCACAACCACTGTGACAGATGACAGGCAGCACAACCACTGTGACAGATGACAGGCAGCACAACCACTGTGACTGATGACAGGCACCACAACCACTGTGACAGATGACAGGCAGCACAACCGCTGTGACAGATGACAGGCAGCACAACCACTGTGACAGATGACAGGCAGCACAACTGCTGTGACAGGTGACAGGCAGCACAACTACTGTGACAGATGACAGGCTAGATCAGTAGCTGCTGTGTTTGTTGTTAGTGCACTTCTACACGGGTCATTCCACATGAGCAGATTGCCTGTGGTTGGCAGGTAGGATGGTCAGTGCGGTCAGCAGTCTCTTATGTGATTATAATGGTTTATGTTTATTTATTTGCAGGATCTTTAGTTATAAGTTGGATTATCTTTCCAGTACTCCGGACACATCCACAAGTGTTCAGATTCCCCCTTTCAACATATTCATCAGCGTTGTGCCGTTATTATTGCCGGTTCTGTGCTGGTTAACAAGAGTTCTTATACGTCCATGTGCTTCTCGTGCTTGGCTGTACTGACATTTACTCCCAGTTGTCATATTCTTAGCAGGGATGTGGATAGGCTCCCAAAATCCACGAACATCCTATCTCTGTAAGGGCATTAACGGCGTCGGCACGATCCATAAGCCAGCCATCTGCAACTAATGCAGAACTCGCCAGTTTGTTAGCTCTTTCATTCATCATTATAGGATCTGTATATTTTGCATTGTCGTTTCCTGTAACAGTTGAAAACTTTAGTATTTATATTACTGCCAGTAAAATATACAATTTAATACTGGTGTAAAATAATCCAAGCAGCAGGTGAAAGCAACATTAGATGGCTCCACAGAATATTCAATGCGGCATGGGTACAACAAACTGCTCCCACTGACTGGCAACATGCAATAGTTGTACCATTGTGGAAGAACAAGGGAAGCAAGCAAGAATGCAATCAGTATCGAGGCGTCTTTGTTTTAAATACTTGAAGTGCATTGTCTGACATACATGATGTACATTGTCTGACATACTTGATGTGCATTGTCTGACATACATGATGTGCATTGTCTGACATACTTGATGTGCATTGTCTGACATACTTGATGTGTATTTCTGACATACTTGATGTGCATTGTCTGACATACTTGATGTGCATTGTCTGACATACTTGATGTGTATTGTCTGACATACATGATGTGTATTGTCTGACATACTTGATGTGTATTTCTGACATACTTGATGTGCATTGTCTGACATACTTGATGTGTATTTCTGACATACTTGATGTGCATTGTCTGACATACTTGATGTGTATTGTCTGACATACATGATGTGCATTGTCTGACATACATGATGTGCATTGTCTGACATACTTGATGTGTATTTCTGACATACTTGATGTGCATTGTCTGACATACTTGATGTGCATTGTCTGACATACTTGATGTACATTGTCTGACATACATGATGTGTATTATCTGACATACTTGATGTGCATTGTCTGACATACATGATGTGTATTGTCTGACCTACTTGATGTGCATTGTCTGACATACATGATGTGCATTGTCTGACATACATGATGTGTATTGTCTGACATACATGATGTGTATTGTCTGACATACTTGATGTGCATTGTCTGACATACTTGATGTGCATTGTCTGACATACTTGATGTGCATTGTCTGACATACTTGATGTGCATCGTCTGACATACATGATGTGTATCGTCTGACATACTTGATGTACATTGTCTGACATACTTGATGTACATTGTCTGACATACTTGATGTGCATTGTCTGACATACTTGATGTGCATTGTCTGACATACTTGATGTGTATTGTCTGACATACTTGATGTGCATTGTCTGACATACTTGATGTGTATTGTCTGACATACTTGATGTGTATTGTCTGACATACTTGATGTACATTGTCTGACATACTTGATGTGCATTGTCTGACATACTTGATGTGTATTGTCTGACATACATGATGTGCATTGTCTGACATACATGATGTGTATAGTCTGACATACTTGATGTGCATTGTCTGACATTCTTGATGTGCATTGTCTGACATACTTGATGTGCATTGTCTGACATACTTGATGTGCATTGTCTGACATACTTGATGTGCATTGTCTGACATACTTGATGTGCATCGTCTGACATACATGATGTGTATAGTCTGACATACTTGATGTACATTGTCTGACATACTTGATGTGCATTGTCTGACATACTTGATGTGCATTGTCTGACATACTTGATGTGTATTGTCTGACATACATGATGTGCATTGTCTGACATACTTGATGTGCATTGTCTGTCATACTTGATGTGCATTGTCTGACATACTTGATGTGCATTGTCTGACATACTTGATGTGCATTGTCTGACATACTTGATGTACATTGTCTGACATACTTGATGTGTATAGTCTGACATACTTGATGTGCATTGTCTGACATACATGATGTGCATTGTCTGACATACTTGATGTGTATTGTCTGACATACTTGATGTGCATTGTCTGACATACTTGATGTGCATTGTCTGACATACATGATGTGTATTGTCTGACATACATGATGTGCATTGTCTGACATACTTTATGTACATTGTCTGACATACTTGATGTACATTGTCTGACATACTTGATGTGTATTGTCTGACATACTTGATGTACATTGTCTGACATACTTGATGTGCATTGTCTGACATACTTGATGTGCATTGTCTGACATACTTGATGTACATTGTCTGACATACATGATGTGTATTGTCTGACATACATGATGTGCATTGTCTGACATACTTGATGTACATTGTCTGACATACTTGATGTACATTGTCTGACATACTTGATGTGTATTGTCTGACATACTTGATGTACATTGTCTGACATACTTGATGTGCATTGTCTGACATTCTTGATGTGCATTGTCTGACATACTTGATGTACATTGTCTGACATACATGATGTGTATTGTCTGACATACATGATGTGCATTGTCTGACATACTTGATGTGCATTGTCTGACATACTTGATGTACATTGTCTGACATACTTGATGTACATTGTCTGACATACTTGATGTACATTGTCTGACATACTTGATGTGCATTGTCTGACATACATGATGTGCATTGTCTGACATACTTGATGTGTATTGTCTGACATACTTGATGTGCATTGTCTGACATACTTGATGTGCATTGTCTGACATACATGATGTGTATTGTCTGACATACATGATGTGCATTGTCTGACATACTTGATGTACATTGTCTGACATACTTGATGTACATTGTCTGACATACTTGATGTGTATTGTCTGACATACATGATGTGCATTGTCTGACATACTTGATGTGCATTGTCTGACATACTTGATGTGCATTGTCTGACATACTTGATGTGCATTGTCTGACATACTTGATGTGCATTGTCTGACATACATGATGTGTATTGTCTGACATACTTGATGTGCATTGTCTGACATACATGATGTGTATTGTCTGACATACTTGATGTGCATTGTCTGACATACTTGATGTGCATTGTCTGACATACTTGATGTGCATTGTCTGACATACGTGATGTGCATTGTCTGACATACATGATGTGCATTGTCTGACATACATGATGTGCATTGTCTGACATACTTGATGTGCATTGTCTGACATACATGATGTGCATTGTCTGACATACTTGATGTGCATTGTCTGACATACTTGATGTGCATTGTCTGACATACTTGATGTGCATTGTCTGACATACTTGATGTGCATTGTCTGACATACATGATGTGCATTTTCTGACATACTTGATGTGCATTGTCTGACATACTTGATGTGCATTGTCTGACATACTTGATGTGCATTGTCTGACATACTTGATGTGCATTGTCTGACATACTTGATGTTTATTGTCTGACATACTTGATGTGCATTGTCTGACATACTTGATGTGCATTGTCTGACATACTTGATGTGCATTGTCTGACATACTTGATGTGCATTGTCTGACATACTTGATGTACATTGTCTGACATACATGATGTGTATTGTCTGACATACTTGATGTGTATTATTTGACATACTTGATGTGTATTGTCTGACATACTTGATGTGCATTGTCTGACATACTTGATGTGTATTATCTGACATACTTGATGTGTATTGTCTGACATACTTGATGTGCATTGTCTGACATACTTGATGTGTATTGTCTGACATACTTGATGTACATTGTCTGCAGATGCCAATCTGGAAGTACTGGGGTTGCACGCAGCTAAGAAATCTGCAGAGTTGGCTCTGCAAGGACAGTTCTCGAAGTCCAGGAGTGTGGCTTTGTTGAACCACAGACTTGCATGGAGACACAGGTATCATTAATCTGTTGATCTGCTGCTCATACGATAGGTGGAGTTTTTTTAAGTCTAGCACTGCATATTTGATTTACCTTAGGCTTGCATGCAGACACACTTCAGTTTATGAACATCCTCTGCTCAGTTTCCCTATTCATCGACTACCTCCTTTCCTCCCCCCGGTGTTCCCTTGAACTAAAGTCTTTGTAATTGAATCATGTGTCACCACTGGTTCAAAGCAAGCTTGCTTTGTTTCACCACCGCCAGAAGAGTGTCCTGATGTCTTGCAGATTGATTAATCTCTACCTGAAGGGTCACTGTGATATCACCTAGACAACTATATGCAGCAGAATAAATAATTTGGAGCCAATGGAGTAGACAAGGGACTGGTAGCTGTATGCACAATCTGATATGTGATGATCATGTACAACAGAATTCATGGATATATGAAAGTATGGTTAACATAATTGTGTCATTAATGCATACATGATATCGGATAGAACATTGGGGAGTTTATATGTGAAGTCATTTGCACTATGACCAAGGAGTCAATGCATATATGAGGATGTCATGTTAACATCATAATAGTTACTGCATATATAAAGATTGTGTTTACATTAACTCTACCAGACCTGAGGCCCAGAACCATTCTGTACACTATACCTGGCCTCTTGGGCATTCAAGCAAAAACCAACATGATGTACACAAATATTAGTTACATGCAAACAAGTGGTTAGAATAAGATGGAACTTGGAGACATTGTAGAAAATAGGTCTACCTTTCATCTGTCACATCTTTGTGTGCCAGTCGACGCAGCAGGATGAGCCTGGTTTCACACAGAGCTACTTCTTACAAAGTGAGCACCAGATGTGGCTCTTCACCCTCTTGTATGGATTGTCTTTGTAAGACACTCCAGGATTTTGCTTGTTGTACCTGAAGTGCTTTTCCATGCACACAACGCAAATATCATTAGATGATGTCCCAGGGGGAATCTCTGGAAAATGATTGCTTGGGGTCATCCTTTGAGGGCGGGGTTCCTTGTGTGGGTGGTGGTGGGCTGATGTTCTGTATCCACCAATAAGTTGCAGGCACAGTTTCTGAATATATCTGGTGAAACAAACTGGCTTTTTTGAAGCAGCTTGCTGCTTTGAACCATACAAGATAAAAGAATTATAACTGACCCACATACATTTTTTTTGAAAAGCCAGCGGTAATGATGATGATAACGGTGAAGGGGGTCATCTAGTCATTTTGGTCACAGCCACCCATATATTTATTATATTCCTTTACCAGCTGTATCAGCTGTATTTCTTGCACACTGCTATCTTTATTTCCTCTGTTTATTACTACATTTGGGCCAAAGGGCAAAAGCTCATGCGCTGCTGGATCGATCACTACATTCTGAGCTGGATCGTGGTAGTTGGAAATAAATGTGATGGGCCTTCTGTCCTGCCAGACTAAACATGTGACACTTTTTTGATATAGAAGGCCACTGTCACCCCTAGCAAGTTTAAAAAAAAAACACTTTTCAGTGACTTAGGAAACTGCTTCCTGTTTTGCTGCAGGGTTCCCACAATTTCTGTGTGTAATTCTGACAGTGCATATTTAGCAAGGGTTAAAGAGTTCTAGTACGGGTCCATGACAAGCATATGAGGTGTGGAGACGAGCGACTGTAGTTCCTACTGTGCCCAAGTCTTTTACAGGCGTTTGTGCAGCACCAGAGTAGATTTCTGCATTCAGAGTGTAGCCAGTCTCATCAGTTATGTGTAAACAAAAACTCCAAAAGGCCAAGAATCTGTCTCAAGTCATAACATTACACAATCCTGGAGTCAATCAAACACAGTCAGAACCCTCATTCTTGACATTCTTGACATTCTTGACATTGTAGGAGTCTGGCTTTGCTATATGCTGTTGGTGGGCCCGCAGGTTGGTTTTCTAGGTCATATTTTGCCAAAAAGTTTCATCCAAAAACAAGAATAAAAAGTCAATCAGTTCACTCTCCTCTGTGAGAGATCAGGGAATGTTCACTGGGCCTTTTCTGTCCTTATTAAAATTTGTATTTGGTGATACCCCTCGGAGTCTGAATCAGCCAAAGTATTGATCACGTGTTGTTGGACTGAAAAGCCTAGATCTACTTCGCTTTCCTGTTAAAGTGCTTGGTTCATCAGCCACTCAAGGATGTCATCTCAGTGGCCCCTTCTCCATTGTGTGAAGGCAAGACCTCTAGACCCACATTTTTACATAGACTGGCCCCAGATGTCAGTGTGGGTGCTAAGGCTGCCATCATGTTGATTGGCTGCAAAACACCAGAACACACATTAAAAGCACAGTGCATAACCACTACATGGGTATAACACAGGTATCTAGCAGTGTAACACATTTCTGCGCTGCTTTTGAACTGGTTATTAGTGTGATCCATGTAAAGTAAGTCTGATAAATAAGTGAAATCACAGCTTTCAAAGGAAAACACAACCTCGCAAAACCGACTTGAGAACCAGAAAAAAGAATTGAAGTATGTTTAGAAGTTTGAAAATGAATTTAGTTTTTATTCTCCAGCCAAGCTCATCTGCTTCGGATCATGACAGGAAGTAGTACAAGTTTAGATATGTGAAAGTGACTTTCCTAACTAAACTGAACTTCTTCAGCCACAGCTCGACTGCTTCAGACGATGACAGGAAGTAGTACAGGTTTAGATATGTGAAAGTGATGTTCCTAACTGAACTTAACTTCTTCAGCCACAGCTTGACTGCTTCAGACGATGACAGGAAGAAGTACAAGACCATCTACACCCAGTTACAGATGGTGGAGAACACTGTACGCAATCAGATGTTGGTGAGTGCCCTTGTGGATTCCATGTACCCTTTTCGGGAAGAGAGGAAAGAAGGGAGGGCAGGGGGCAGTAGAACCACCGTCCCTTAACAGACTTGTTATAGAAAGGCGACTAATTAAGGGTATCCAATGTTTTTGACTAATTGATGCAGATATCACAGCCTAGCTGTAGACCACAATATAAATAGGCCAACAGCCCCTTTAAGGATGAATGTTGAAGTTGTAAGAAGAAATAAAGGTGAATGCCGGACTCTAAGAATTAACTCTTTGAGTCCCAGATTGTTTAGCATCACCGGCCCAAGGTTTGGTAATGCAATTATTTAATTTCACAAATGTGACACATTAAAACAGACCATACTAATTCAGCTGCTACGCAACATACACATATTATACATCAAAGTGACCAGGGATTGTTGGGAAATAATTATAGAATACAGCTACAACAAATAAAAGCGTTAGTAATTAAATATTAGTAAATAAACAGACGGTATGTTACAGGAATTAGTAACAAAAAATTTAAAAAATTCCACTTACCTCCATTCCACTCAAGAAAAACTCGCTAAAATATATCCAAACCAAATAACAAATGAATATGAACCACTTAGTAATGTACAAAAAAAATATAAATACAATCTGTGCATTAGATAATGTTCCAGAGAATCTTTTGAAGCATCACATCAAAGCCCCATTATTTGATTAAGAAAACTGACTTTCCAAAAAAGTTAGTATCTTCACACAAAACAAAGTTTATATAACACTCAATTTGCCTGTAATTTTGTAGCTATGTTCCTAAATAATAAGTGGAATAGCACTGGAACTAACTGGCACAGAAGAACATTGCCTTTTCACTAGTATTTATTCTATTTGTCTCAGCTGAATTTCCGTCGTCATACCCTTCGTCTGAGGTACAGATTAGACCTATCCCTCATCAAAGTTTGACTCTATAAATGACTGAAACAAGTCTACTTTACAACTGTATCTATCTAACTTGGAAAAAATCTAATAAACAAGTGCTTTATTTACATTTGAGGCTTCTAAAGGTGTAAATCGTGCATGGTGGCCATTTTGTCTTCAAACAGATACTTAGTAACTCGGCAAAAATTGCAAATATACAATATTTTTGGCTCTTAAACCACGTTTCCAAATGAGCACACCTGATATCAAACACACAGAAATCAGAAGAACGATGAAATTAAACAGTCTGCGTTTTATTACCAGTCAGTGGTATATTGAAAACCCACACTTGTCACTTTCAATTGGGCTGCTGGGTTGTAACCAATTAGCGTGTGATGCGTTCCTTGGGACTCAAAGAGTTAAACGTCTGTTGGAATAAACTTACATAACAGTGACTACAGAGCTTAATGAATAAGTTTTTTAAAAATATAAAAATTTGTTTCCAGATATTTAGAACTGGCGAGAGACTGAGTTTCTTTCAGGCAGACCGTGAAAAGAGCGACGTTCTGCAAATGGACCTGCTTCATGATGATGAATGCACTATGTAGTTGCCTGTTTATGATTTTGATTTGATAGTTGAAGTAGAACAGATACGAGTAACAGCTGTTTATACTTTCTATATCTACAGAAAGAGATCCTAGTCTCTGGACATACCATGAGTGATAGCGAGCCTAGCGATGATGATGATGATTCTAATGATGGTTGTCGGAGGCGCAGCCTACCGCCAAAACCTAAGCCTAAATACACCAAAGGTTTCATAGCTACTAGGTTTAAAATGGTATGTTGAAAAAATCTGCCCACACTCTAGTATTATGTTCTTAGTAGTTTAAAATATGTCCGCAATGTATTGAAATTTTTGGCTTGAACAGTCACTTTACTAGTTTTGTTGAACCTTGAATAGTGTGTTTGTATACAGACACCCCCACGTGCACACACACACACACACACACACACGCATGTGCACACACATGCTTACATGTACACACATGCTTGCCTGCACTCACACACACACACACACACACACACACACACACACACACACATGCATGCCTGTATGTACACATGCATGCCTGCAAACACATACATGCCTGCAGACACACACATGCACATGCCTACACTCACAAGAACATGCCTACACACACATGCATGCCTTCAGATACACTCACATAACGCATGCAAGCATGCATGCCTGCATGCACACAGATGCCTGCATGCCTGCATGTGTACACACACACACACACACACACATGTATGCCTGTTTGCACACACAGGCGTTCACAGTAAAACATCTGTTGTTGCATCATAATATCTGAGTTTATCTCATTATAATAATCTGGTGAAAAGAAAACAGTAAACGGCCCTGCCTTTTGACTTTTATGGCAAAAGTACTGTGAAAATCAAACCAGTTTTCACACAGTCAGGTTTGAAATCAAATGCTAAATGCATGTAATTAACACTATCATAAGTTGATTTTCTAGAAATATGGCATTTTACTGAGATCTGATAGTGATTGCTTCAGATCTGCACTAGCTCATTGTGACCGATCCAGTTCTAAGTAATCCACATAGCATCTACACAAGTCTCCTAGTGATTGACTCACACCTACACAAGCTTCCTAGTGACTGACTCACATCTACACAAGCTTCCTAGTGACTGACTCACATCTATACAAGCCTGGTAGTGACTGATTCAGTTCTAAGTAATCCACATAGCATTTACACAAGTCTCCTAGTGATTGACTCACACCTACACAAGCTTCCTAGTGACTGACTCACATCTATACAAGCCTTGAAGTGACTGATTCAGTTCTTCACAAGTCTCACAGTGACTGACTCACATCTATACAAGCCTGGTAGTGACTGATTCAGTTCTTCACAAGTCTCACAGTGACTGACTCACATCTATACAAGCCTTGTAGTGACTGATTCAGTTCTTCACAAGTCTCACAGTGACTGACTCACATCTATACAAGCCTTGTAGTGACTGATTCAGTTCTTCACAAGTCTCATAGTGACTGACTCACATCTATACAAGCCTTGTAGTGACTGATTCAGTTCTTCACAAGTCTCATAGTGACTGACTCACATCTATACAAGCCTTATAGTGACTGATTCAGTTCTTCACAAGTCTCATAGTGACTGACTCACATCTATACAAGCCTTGTAGTGACTGATTCAGTTCTTCACAAGTCTCACAGTGACTGACTCACATCTATACAAGCCTTGTAGTGACTGATTCAGTTCTTCACAAGTCTCATAGTGACTGACTCACATCTATACAAGCCTTGTAGTGACTGATTCAGTTCTTCACAAGTCTCACAGTGACTGACTCACATCTATACAAGCCTGGTAGTGACTGATTCAGTTTTAAGTAATCCACATAGCATCTACACAAGTCTCCTAGTGATTGACTCACACCTACACAAGCTTCCTAGTGACTGACTCACATCTATACAAGCCTTGTAGTGACTAATTCAGTTCTTCACAAGTCTCACAGTGACTGACTCACATCTATACAAGCCTTGTAGTGACTGATTCAGTTCTTCACAAGTCTCACAGTGACTGACTCACATCTATACAAGCCTTATAGTGACTGATTCAGTTCTTCACAAGTCTCACAGTGACTGACTCACATCTATACAAGACTTGTAGTGACTGATTCAGTTCTTCACAAGTCTCACAGTAACTGACTCACATCTATACAAGCCTTGAAGTGACTGATTCAGTTCTTCACAAGTCTCACAGTGACTGACTCACATCTATACAAGCCTTGTAGTGACTGATTCAGTTCTTCACAAGTCTCACAGTGACTGACTCACATCTATACAAGCCTTGTAGTGACTGATTCAGTTCTTCACAAGTCTCACAGTGACTGACTCACATCTATACAAGCCTTGTAGTGACTGATTCAGTTCTTCACAAGTCTCACAGTGACTGACTCACATCAACAGAAGCCTTCTAGTGACCTATTCAGTTCTACACAAGCCACATATTTGCCTTGGCTTCGGTAATGTTTGTGAACTTGAACCCACATTACCAGAAGCTGCGTGTTCTGAAAATAACTGTCATGTCTAGCAGTGTAACCCATATCTGAAGTGGTTGTTAGTGGGATCCGAGTGAAGTAAGTCATAAATAAATGAAAAATTACAACTTCTAAACAAAAAGACAATCTTATGACGCCATTTTGGAAAACACAATTGAGGTGTGTTTGGAAATTTAAAGATGACTTCCCTAATTAAGTTTTACTTCTCCAGCCATAGCTCATAGTAGAATATAAAAGTACACACAATTATAAACCAGTTGTTAGAGTAGTAAAACAGTAACAAGGAATGCATATACAGTTTGTGAACAATGTACCGGACTAAGGGTAATATTCTAGGGGAGCATGAAGAATCTGCATTAACAGTTTCTGCTACATGGACATAGCCACAATTTTGTTTGGCAAGTTGATCAATAAGCAGTAACAAAGCATCCTTTAGAGAACCTTTCAGTCTGCTTCAGTCTTCTATCACTACTGTTAGTCTCCAACATGTCAGTTATGATGTCCAACCTTTCAGTCTGCTTCAGTCTTCTATCACTACTGTTAGTCTCCAACATGTCAGTTATGATGTCCAACCTTTGTCTGCTTCAGCCTTCTATCACTACTGTTAGTCTCCAACATGTCAGTTATGATGTCCAACCTTTCAGTCTGCTTCAGTCTTCTATCACTACTGTTAGTCTCCAACATGTCAGTTATGATGTCCAACCTTTGTCTGCTTCAGTCTTCTATCACTACTGTTAGTCTCCAACATTTCAGTTATGATGTCCAACCTTTCAGTCTGCTTCAGTCTTCTATCACTACTGTTAGTCTCCAACATGTCAGTTATGATGTCCAATCTTTCAGTCTGCTTCAGTCTTCTATCACTACTGTTAGTCTCCAACATGTCAGTTATGATGTCCAACCTTTCAGTCTGCTTCAGTCTTCTATCACTACTGTTAGTCTCCAACATGTCAGTTATGATGTCCAACCTTTCAGTCTGCTTCAGTCTTCTATCAGTACTGTTAATCTCCAACATGTCAGTTATAATGTTCAACCTTTGTCTGCTTCAGTCTTCTATCACTACTGTTAGTCTCCAACATGTCAGTTATGATGTCCAACCTTTCAGTCTGCATCAGTCTTCTATCACTACTGTTAGTCTCCAACATGTCAGTTATGATGTCCAACCTTTCAGTCTGCTTCAGTCTTCTATCACTACTGTTAGTCTCCAACATTTCAGTTATGATGTCCAACCTTTGTCTGCATCAGTCTTCTATCACTACTGTTAGTCTCCAACATTTCAGTTATGATGTCCAACCTTTGTCTGCTTCAGTCTTCTATCACTACTGTTAGTCTCCAACATGTCAGTTATGATGTCCAACCTTACAGTCTGCTTCAGCCTTCTATCACTACTGTTAGTCTCCAACATGTCAGTTATGATGTCCAACCTTTGTCTGCTTCAGTCTTCTATCACTACTGTTAGTCTCCAACATGTCAGTTATGATGTCCAACCTTTCAGTCTGCTTCAGTCTTCTATCACTACTGTTAGTCTCCAGCATGTCAGTTATGTCAGATCTTTCAGTGTAAATCAGTATCCAGCAAATGTCAGTTATATTGTCTAATTGTTAAGGTTATCTGCTTCTGTCTCCTATCACTATGATTAGTCTCTAGTGTATGTTAGACATGATGTCTAGTCATTTATTCCATGTGCAATAATGTGCACATAATCCCTTTTCACACATCATGTAAGAAAGCCACTTCAGAAATGTGAACAGCTGTTCAGTGAGTGAAAGACTAGAAACAATATTTGGCTCTTCTGTAAGATGCTTATCACTTTAGCATTAGGACAGAACAAAAGAATTCCTCTCACCACTGTATCTCAACTTATGCAACTTGTATGTTCATATGCTCTCAGAAGTGTCCAGATTTCCTTCACTAATGAACTCCCTATAGATATTGTTGTTACTATAAGCTCAGAATGTCTATATTTAACTTGAATACTGTTTCAATTCATTCTTGCAGATGCGTGCAAAGAGGTCATCCGAAATGGATGATGGGATGGCAAATATGATGTACAGGTTTCGTGGTGTTGGGGCCAGTGAGATAAGTTCAGGTTCTTTTATAGATGAGACTTCTGCGTCAGGTTCCAGCAAGGAAAGAGCAGGGAATAAAGCATCAAAGAAAAAGACAAAAAAGTGAAGTCAGACAGTGACAGCTGTCATAACCTGAATGTGTGACTGTCAAGACAGAATCCCATGTTCCTAAGTTGTCTGTGTTGTAAAAAATGTCAGAATTCAAGAATGTGTTCATACCTCACTTGCTGTGTCCACATTTGTGACATGCCTCCAACAGTTCACTTTGATGCTAAATGTATCATTTATTTTCAGAAATTCAAATTTGCTAGGTTTTTGTGTGTGTGGATAACCTCTGTTATAAGGAGCTGCAAGAGAAAGTTAAGTAGTCACTTTATATCACTTTGAACCTGGACAAATTGATAAAGTATCATTTATTTTTAAACAGCTGGTACTGCTCAGTCCTTCTCAGCAACTAAAGTAGTTAACAAATCATGTACATATACTTTCTGGAATGAGAGAAAAATCATGTACATATACTTTCTGGAATGAGAGAAAACAGTTGTGTTTGCAAGGATTAGGAAAGTACCTGTTTGTGTGTTTAGTGTATGAATTCATGCTTGTGTGCATTTGTCTTTTCATTTATCAGCTTGATCAAACTTGCACAAATGCAGCAATGGATAAAAGGGTAGCTGGAAGCACAGTTAAACATACTAGAAAAGAAAATGAAGTCTTTTGAATGAAAGACAAGAAGAAATAAACACAGTGGGGTAAATTTAATTATAAGGACATACAATTCAGTGGATTAAGGTTTGGCCATTCTAAATAGGTTTCAGCAGAGTTATTGAAACGTTAGCTTGAACAACTGTAAACACTAAGGTCAGAGAGGCAGTGCAAGCAACAATATGCTGGAGCATTATCGTAGGGAATGAGAGGGAATGAACATAATTGTCGTATATCAAAGAGTTAAAGTTGGGCAAAACTGATCACAATAAAATAAGTCTTTAGATGCTAAGTAGAGTTAATTTTAATGTCGACTTTGCAAAGGCTGTTAATTGCACTGGGTTTGATTTGTCATAGCTCTGACATTGTCTGTTGTAGCCTTGAAGAGCATCATACTTTGTCTCTTGTCGTCTCATTGGTACCAAACTGTAGGTCAGCATCATACTTGTTCTCTTGTCGTCTCATTGGTACCAAACTGTAGCTCAGCATCATAGTTTTCTGTATGTGTCTTGCACTCCTCCGGTGGCTTGGCTGATATATTGGTTACTCTGTTTTTTGTGTGTGTAGGTTTCAGCTGTACCATTTATCCCTCTTTTCTTGGTTTTCCTGTCACCTTCCTCTCAAATGTTCTGCTCTAGAAAACAATGATGAAGAGCATAAGGTCAAACTTGCAACTTGTAGCTCCAGTGATGATCCCCATGGATCTCTGGAACATGTGAACTGGCACACAGAACATGAGTCCAGAATGAAATTCACCACCCTCACAGAGTCTGTGGCAAACATGTGAACCAGCTCACCATAAAGACTTCTAGTTTTTGTGTTGTCAGCATGACCCAGTAATGGTATAAATTTGTGTGTGTTGTCAGCACAAGCCAGTAATGCTCTAAATTTGTATGTGTTGTCAGCACAAGCCAGTAATGCTATAAATTTGTGTGTGTTGTCAGCACAAGCCAGTAATGCTATAAATTTGTGTGTGTTGTCAGCCTAAGCCAGTAATGCTATAAATTTGTGTGTGTTGTCAGCACAAGCCAGTAATGCTATAAATTTGTGTGTGTTGTCAGCCTAAGCCAGTAATGCTATAAATTTGTGTGTGTTGTCAGCCTAAGCCAGTAATGCTATAAATTTGTGTGTATTGTCAGCACAAGCCAGTAATGCTATAAATTTGTGTGTGTTGTCAGCCTAAGCCAGTAATGCTATACATTTGTATGTGTTGTCAGCACAAGCCAGTAATGCTATAAATTTGTATGTGTTGTCAGCACAAGCCAGTAATGCTATAAATGTGTGTGTTGTCAGCACAAGCCAGTAATGCTATAAATTTGTGTGTGTTGTCAACACAAGCCAGTAATGCTATAAATGTGTGTGTGTTGTCAGCACAAGCCAGTAATGCTATAAATTTGTATGTGTTGTCAGCACAAGCCAGTAATGCTATAAATTTGTGTGTGTTGTCAGCACAAGCCAGTAATGCTATAAATTTGTATGTGTTGTCAGCACAAGCCAGTAATGCTATAAATGTGTGTGTTGTCAGCACAAGCCAGTAATGCTATAAATTTGTGTGTGTTGTCAGCACAAGCCAGTAGTGCTATTAATATGGGGGTTGTCAACTTGAGCCGGAAATTCTATAAATGTGTATTTTAACATGCTACAAATGTGTGTGATATGAATATAAACCAAAAGTGTTATAAATGCACATCTTCATTTCTGAGTAATTTTATAAATGAGTTATGACCCTGAGGTTATAACATAACAGATGTATTTCTAGTGTGTTTGGCATAAATAATTCACCACTCACACGTTTGATACTTGTTTAATTTTTTTAGAAAATCCTTAACTGCTGAAGATCAAACAAAAGAACATCAAGGAGACAATGTAGTAAACCATTTGGTTTGACAGAATATATAGATGCACTTTATCATGGTTACAGAAAATACCAAAGGACCAAAATAAGAATATATTAGCAATGCTTGTTAACAGAAATTAGGAATGAGAGTCAGTCAAGAGATAAAAGGCAAAAACTACTGATTGTGAAAGTTGAGTGAGATGAGAGGAGGCTCCAATAACAAAGTGATTGTGATAGTTAAGTGATAAAAGGAGAGGAACCTGTATTAATGTGAATAGAGAGTAGTTAGTCACACAAAATACCCAAGGTGAAGAGAAGCCAGATAAAACCTCCTGAGGGATGGGAACTCATTGAACCAACCATCAGTGAGATAGATCAAAGGATGAGAGAAGCAGAAAACCTCCTGATGGATGGGAACTCATTGAACCAACCATCAGTGAGCTAGATCAAAGGATGAGAGAAGCCAGATTTAAACCTCATGAAGGGAGAATGCCTAAACTTGAACCTCAGTGACCCATATTCCACCTGCACCCTCATAAATCTTGCAACAGTTATGATTGATTTTATCAAAGAAAGGCTATCAGTAAAGAATGACATGAGTGCTGCTTGTAGGAGAATATTGCAGACAGAAATTTCTTTGCCAAGTGGAAGAGGCAGGGATAAGAAAAGTTGTGCAGTTTGTCCTGTATTCACGGTTTGTCCTGTATTCACAGTTTGTCCTGTATTCACGGTTTGTCCTGTATTCAGGGTTTGTCCTGTATTCATAGTTTGTCCCGTATTCACAGTTTGTCCTGTATTCATGGGTTTTCCTGTATTCAGGGTTTGTCCTGTATTCATAGTTTGTCCTGTATTCACAGTTTGTCCTGTATTCACGGTTTGTACTGTATTCACGGTTTGTCCTGTATTCACGTTCAGGATACAAACTTTGACGGCAACTGTATTTTAGTTCTCACATCAAAGCTCGAATCTGGCAAAACTATGGGATGTTTTTATTGTGGCTAAGCAAAGCATGAAGGACCATAACATGATAAGACTTTCCTCTGTTCTCAGGTTTTCTCAGTGTGTGTCCTATCCAGCACCAGCATCTTTACTTTTCCTTTTCATCCCCAGGAACTTCAGTTCTCTCCCAAAGCTCACCATTAGCAATTATTATACTATTTAATTCCCTCTATTCTGCACAGGCCCCAGTTAATGAATGTTTGTAGTTTATTTGTAACTGTTTTAGTTCTTCATGTTTCCACTCCATACAACAGCACTGGTTTGATTGACATTAGAATTAACAATGTTAAGTTTAGAACTAGCTTTAACTTCTTTTGACCTCTAAATATTTCCTAGTGCTGTTTGTACTCTTATCAATTCAAATATTGTAGAATGTAATGTTCATTTTTGTTTATGGAGTAAGCTGCTACAGAAATTGTTTGAAGAAGATGATGATGAAAGAAAGGAAAAAATTACTGTCAATTTGTTTTTAATTTTTTTTAAAAATATTGTGTATTATTATTTTATATTTGTTTATGTATTTCTTTGTTTATGTTTGATTAGTCATTACTCTCATTATTACTATCATTACTCTCATTATTACTATCATTACTCTCATTATTACTATCAGTACTCTCAGTTTTGATATAAAATCTCAGACCTGCTGAAAATGTTTAACTCAGTCACGATCTTAGTAAAAGAAAATTAGATAACTCTATTTATCTACAACTTAAATTACTGGATCGGATGCAAGCTGAATTGTGTAGATATCTTTTTGTACATCAGTGGATGACGTGCCACAGACATTAATACAACAATAGATTTACTACAGTTGTTTCAACAGATGCTTTTTTGACATCAGTTACTATCATAAATCTGGTTTAATAAAAAATCTCTGCAGAAAGTGGTTTCTACAGAGACCCAAATCCACAGAGACACCCCCCCCCTCCAAATCCCATTAAAAGATTGGTGTAAACACTGGCAGGTGCTGGAGAAAGAACCAGTGGAAGGCGCCAGAGAACAGACTTAGAGAAGATGAAGTTTCATGGTCAGACGACTTCAGCACCTCAGAACAATGATGATGATGATGATGATTCATACCATTTGAAAGTGAAGATGTGGTTGAATGTTGAAAGTGTTCATAACATAATTATGAGGCTGAACGTTGCTGTGATTTGTGTTACTACTATATAAACTAAATGTAAGATCTTTTCAATTCAAATACTGTTTTATTATTAGAGCTTTGAGAAAGTAGAGAAGGTAACATATCAGGTTGTTCAACATTTCTGATTCAGCTTCCTTCTCCATATTCTCATTCATTTGTTAGTTCTGCTTGATTGATTATTTCTTCCATTTCTTTGTTGTACTAATTTTTTATAGTGGTGCTTACTAGCAGGTGCTGGAGAATGAACTGTTCAATTGTGATTTTATGACAGGTTGTTCATTTGTCAGTTCATATCAGGTTGTTCAGTTTATGACAGGTTGTTCATTTCATGACAGGTTGTTCAGTTGTGATTTTATGACAGGTTGTTCAGTTGTGATTTTATGACAGGTTGTTGAGTTCATGACAGGTTGTTCAGTTTATGACA